ATCTTCCACGCTTCGCAGGAATGCAGATGTCCTCCTTCTGTCCTCGCATGGAGGTCGCAGCCGGTATGCGTCATGTGCTAGTGTTGAAAACTGCGTGGGGGAGAATAGAAAAAATGATGTATAAAACAGAACCTGACGAGGGTTTGATTTATTCATCAGTTTTCTGTTACGTTTATGCCGAAACCGTGTGGCCGTGAAAACGTGTTGACAGACAGTTAACGGTTTCGAGAATTCAAAGAGCGACGTCCTAAAAGTAACAAACCCGCAGTATAGCCTCCGTAGCAGGCTTATAGAACTGGGGGTTTGGTAGTATTCGTCTGTTTTCTGATTAGCCCAGTTCTAACGGGGGTAAACAGAAAACGGGGGTAATTCAACCAGGCCGGCTATGCTATCTATATGCAATCAGATAACAGCACATAAAAGCTCCCAAAGACCATGAAAACCCCAAAACCCCCAATTTTTGGTATGCTATGGAGGCTACCCGCAGTATTGGCTGACTGTACGGTGAGTGTGCTAGCGGAGAACCAAGTGGTGATGAAGACGTATCTTTGGTCCGTATTTAGTAGCCTATCTCTTAAGAACGACACTCCTGGGAGAACGTCTAAGACAGTCTCCTCTCTAGGCGATAGATCACACCGGTACCCGCGCCGTGCATATAGACAGTGCTGAATGCAAAGCAGCTAGCTTGCGCAGGTTTTGAATAATGTCAGGAAAGGAGAATCCGCACGGAGAGAAATGCGCTGGTAGCTGCCGACCATGTTTCAGAGCCGTGCCCGAGGCGGCAGTTTCATCAAGATCGAATGCCTTCAACAGTCCTGTACGCGGGGAAATTGTCCATCATGATCAAACCCTAGGACTATATACTATTTGTAACGTTTATGAGAAAGTCCAATCATTTACTACTTCTCACCCGAGTCGTTAGTGACCAGCGGCTCAGTGTCGCACCTACATTTGTCATTTCTCCTGACCCAATATCGAGATGGTCAGCGGTGCTTTACATTACATACTGCCCTGTGCTCAATATTCGCTGCACAGTATAAACGAGAAACTGTCCAAACCGATCGATCTATGGGCACTTGAACGTGACCTCCAATATCCGGGGGTCAAACTTGTCAGATGAGATGAAACAAGATTCTTGTTATTCAGTGTCAGCTGTGCAATGCCCCGAGTCGCCTCTGGGTGTTCTCTTTCACCGAGATGGATCTGCTCAACTTCTGGTACCGTGAGATAACTTTCTAAATAGCACACGCCACACATTCCCCATATTTTATTTTACAAACAGTACCACCAAGTACCTAGTGACTGTAGTTTGAATTCGAACATGGGGCGATTTATAGCCAATAAGAGAGCGGAGGTAACTTTAATGAACAGCAACTCAAATATTTGATGACGACTGCTGAGCAAAGTTGATTTCACGTGTCCGACATTGGCTGTAAATTCTCTAGTTGTGCTATTGAATAAAAGTCTTACAAAGTTATGTAAAGTGTATAGACACAAATGATGGGTTTTAGTTTATTGGCTGAGCAAAAGAGATCTGCACAACCTCTGGTACCGTGAGATAACTTTCTAAACAGCACACGCCACTGATACACCCCCCTCCCCGCGCACAGAAGGGTGTTGTTGTGCACTCAAATAACCTGACAAATGTCATATTAGTCTCCACGTGATAATCTGTTGGCCCACCGCCCCTCGGTACCTCCACACTGAGCGGTAAAACAGACCAAGCTCCCGTCTTTTATCCCCCAAACCTTCCCTACAAAGCCGGGTGATACATCAGACTCTGACTATGACCTTCCTCCATAGAAATGCAAATCTGTCAACCAACTACTCCTTACAGCAACGTCAGGTTCGTAATATGCTGGTTATCTCCGAATGTGGTGGGTTATATATCAAAGCCGGGCACATTTTCTAGGATAGACTCGGCAGAACAAATTCATTAGAGGAACTGAAATTTGTCGATAAAACAAAATAACTCATTCCTTCGCTCGAGGCTAGCCAGGGGACACATGTACATGGTCTAAGTCTCAGAGAGTTGTAGAATTCACACGTTTCTTCTGCTTGTATTGGACGTGAGATTTATTTAGTATTTATTTGCACCAATGTAAATCTCTGTAACAAAATCGTAACTGGGGCAATGAAGAACCAAATGCATATTTATCAGCCTCCTGGGTACTGTAGGTCAGGTGTATAAAATGTAGATCGTGGGACCATCATTTCTACTCATGTATATGTGTACAGCATTCAGGTAACCCTGACTTCATAAGTAACGCATAGAGCAGGATTGGGTACGGCTTGAAAATGGCAGAGTTACATTTTGTATCTCTATCCGCCTTCTGAACACATCCAAGCAACGTGAAGTCCATTAGGAGTTACCACGCTGACCTAGCGTGTGGTGACAGATATCGTGTCGTTCTAACTAGTCAGGCGTTGGATCAGATCACGCTGCACCGTCTGAGCTGTTTTCTAGCCGAAAACCTTCTTATACGTTTGAGTGCAATAGTAGTAAGATATAGAAACAGTGTGCAGAGGGTCGAAGGTGTACATAAGTGAAATGATTGATGGCTGATGTATATCTTCTTTGAACTTTGTGCCCTAGATCTCTGTTGATCTGATTAAGAGGCCAACCGAGGTGTTTTAAACCCTGCATCTTGTCCTATAGTCTTTTGAATGCTTCTTTTTTCATGTTGCTCATAAACCTTCGTGCAAAGTTAAGATAATGTTGAGCACACGGCATGGGAGAGAAGAAGGATTCTCCCCGTGACGTAAGTCCTTGAGGCTCACGGAGAGAAATTCTGGAATGTCATCGGGGGCAAGAATTATCGATTTCGCGTCGTTAACTAACCGTTAATGACTCCCCCGGGCCCCGGACGGATTACCGACGGGCTGGAGACCACCTGGTGACGGCACGGAGGGATGGCAGCACGGATCAGGGTCGGCTCTAATCACCTTCTCTCTCCGGAGTTCCCGAAAAATGTCCACACGCATCATCGCTGAAGATTTTCGACTCCCGGAAGTGCAGAGATTTTCCAGGAAGTCCGGAGAGAGAAGGTGATACTTTGATAGACTATTCTATAGCTAACGCCCATCTGAAGTAATTGGAGCTAGCTGTGGCAGGGCCATGTCATCGCACGCATCATCGCTGAAGATTTTCGATTCCTGGAAGTGCAATGACCTGTGGTCTTTCGTTGTGACGTGCACACATGGCCCTGCCACAGCTCCAATTACTTCAGATGGGGGTTAGCTATAGGATGGTCTATCAAAGACCTGCCGCACGCTGTGACGTATATACATGGCCCTACCACAGCTCCAATCACTTTAGATCAAACTGTTCTCCTACCAAAAAATTGGACACTTCTTAATCTCTGTAGACTTCTCGGGAATTTCTGCACTTCCCGGAATCGAAAATCTTCGGCGATGATGCGTGCGATTCGCTGTGACGTACATACATGGCCCCGCCACAGTTCCCATCACTTCAGATGAGTGTTAACTTGGGACGGTGCATCAAACGGTACTAGGCAATATTTGGAACGACTGAATCACTTGATAAAGTATCTTACCTTTGCATAAGTTCAGGATAAAATCTGCGTTGTCACAACAATTTAACTGTTCTCCAACTAAAAGAAACAATAAATGGATTTATCGGGGTTTTCGACTGAATCACTCAGTCCTTCTTCAGCACTCTAATCCATTCGTTCAGGACACATGACCTAATGATCGTGTGGCGTCCTCATTGTGTCAAAGGTTGTCGGAAGTCTATATCATCCCCCGTCCCGGTTAAGAGAATGTTGGTGCGCCTTAATGCCTTTTTTCTCTCCCAAAAAGTAGTCATATTCGGTATCTAGAACCGATTGCCTTGCTCACAATGTTATTGACATACTTCAGTTATGAAATTTTCGATCACTTTGACCAGATGTTTGACCAAGTTAGATGAGTCATTGTATTGGACAATATAAACACAAATCAATCATCTGTAATCTTATTCTCATCTATTTAGTCTAGCTGTACACAAACTGTTGACAGCGTCTGTAACGTATTGAGTGGTAAACCGATAATCTATCAATTATGCAGGGCCTTTCCTGGTAATGCCTCCTGTGGGGATACGGCGATGCATGGATATTAAATCATTAACGACGCTGCTTTTATCAGCCATATGGGAGCGTTCCCATCTATTTCGGTAAAACTCAATTACAAACGGTACGTAAGGGACGATTGCCTTTTGCAGAATTGATTAATGCGTTAATGACTCGGGCGTTTAGGGGCTAGGAAGACTGGAGAAACTTCGTTAGGCTAATTTTAACATTAACCATTACCTGGGACCCCCCTCCCATGCCGTCTCCATAGAAACCAGAATGACGTCAGCCAGGTCTCGTCTTTTGTGAACTTATTTATTTATTTATTCATTGCAGATTTGTATATTATTTAACAAATATCAAAATTCATCAGCCTTGAAAATGAGCACGCATGTTAACGTTTGCAACAACTCTCAGGTTGTTGAACTTGATCGTCAAAGTATGAACATGTAGGAGTGTGATGCTTTAATAGCGCTGTGCATACACCCACCCATATACACACATACGTGCACCCATTCATATATACGTAGTACATACTTATTACCTTACGAAAAATCTATCTACACGTAGATCAACTGGGCGTTTTTACTAGAATGTAACCAGTTGACTTCATGTGCTTTGAGTTGACTTTATGTACTTTTGAGTTGACTTTGTGCACTTTTGACTTTGATGTACTAATTATGCTATATACCACTTCAACGAGGTGCATGTATTAAGTTCTTTATTTGATGTCTCCAGTTTGACCTCTAATTTGACTTGGATTTATGTTTCTATTATCTCTGTACTTATGTTTATGTTTAGGTTCTGGTGTCATAAGCCCATATGGGCAAGACACGAAAATGAAATATTTATTCATTCATTCGTTCATTCCAAACGAAACTTTCATGTAGTTTTGAACATGACCTATACATGACCGTTGTTGTTCCCCAGGGCTCCTCTCGGTCCGTGTCGTACCCAGTAGTGGTGTTTGTTCACGGCGGAGACTTCATGTTCGGGACGGGCTCGGCTTACGACGGGAGTCTGCTGGCAGCAACACAGAACATCGTGGTGGTCACCATCAACTACAGACTAGGGGTCTTAGGTAAGGCCATCTCTTCACTCTACATCAACTACAGACTAGGGGTCTTAGGTAAGGACATCTTTTCTACTCTACCATCAACTACAGACTAGGGGTCTTAGGTAAGGACATCTTTTCACTCTACCATCAACTACAGACTAGGGGTCTTAGGTAAGGACATCTTTTGTTTCACATCCATCCATCCATTCATTCATTAATAAAACAGATGTGATAAATATTAGATATCCAATGTAAGCTAATGTATCGTCACGGAAGTTACGGCATACTTGGTGAACAATGATCTACTAGATCTTTTAATTCACATCCATTTATTGATTCGTACATCAGATATTGTAAATATTATATATCTAATACTTGATGATGTAGGATCACGGAACGTGCGTATGGCTTTCTTCAGGAATAATGACCCACTAGTCCGGACATCTGACCTTAATCACTCACTCGTGTTCCCAGTTGTTGGTTATGGCCTAGCGCCGAAGTGATTTCTTTAAGACGAAGAAGTACATCCTTATAAAACAGCGTGGGGATATCGCTAAACTTCAATTTCCTCCGGATCAGTATCTATTCACCCACGCGGGTTAGAATGAAGTACCTTCCCTCTCTGACGCCCGCAGCTGACGGCAGTAGATCCGTTATTCCAGCAGCTTGAAGCCTTCACCATCGATGACAGGTACTGTACATCATCCGGAGTGGTTTAGTATCGGCCCCAGGCCAACAACAACGGACTGTCGGCCTGCTGTTGTCGCTGGAATTGCTTTGTCATTTTTCAAAGACGAAGGGAGATCACATTTGTAGTTAGCGATATGGGAATTTCCAGTTGGTTGCTTTGATTAAATCTATTTAATGTTACGTATAGGAAACACCAGAGGCACACCAGGAGCTCCGGAGGTACACTGTAAGGTTTTGCGTTGTGCACCTCTTTGATTTCTGACTGGACTTTGTGGCAAAGTTCATTCCTCTTTCGTTAGATCTGGCCAGTGTCATGAGAATACGTCAATGAAAACATGGCGACCTTTTGACATCTTGGAAACTTTGAAGTTAACTCCGCCTTACACAATGTGTGGGCGACTCTCTCTTAAGAGGTTGACCACCTTTCAAGGTAGTTTTTCTCTCCTTTCCTGTCATGAAATTTGGATGCGTGGTAGGCAACGGGCAATTCATCCTATCAGCTTCCTCACAGCTTGCAAATTTGAAGAGCCGAGGAGTGCCTGGCACGCGAGATGGATTCTGTTTGTGAACCCAGAGGGATGACATACTTAATGCTACAGGAGGCTAACTAATTAAAGACATGGAAATGTCTTATTGAATATATGGAAGACAGACAGCACTTCCTACAAGGTTTTATGGGGGTCAATGTCCTCGACTTCATCAGGAATCTGGTGCAGCTGTAGCCTCGGTAGCAGGCTTATAGACCTGGCGGTTTGGTGATCTTCGGCTGTTTTCTGATTGGCCCAGTTCTAAAAAAAACGTAATTCAACCAGGCCGGCTATGTTGTCTATATGCTTTCAGAAAACAGCACATAAAATCTCCCAAAGACCATGAAGACCCACAAAATCCTCAGTTTTTGGTATGCTATGGAGGCTAGTGCAACTGAACCCCGCTGTTAGCTTCTTTCTAATCGTATTCTGTCTGCAAAGTGCGCGGGGCAACGTAGGCGTTAATAACTTCCTCTCGATCTACATGTAAGCTGTTGCAACTGCACCACCTGCCTTACAGGTTGGTCATAAAAGCATAATATACGAGCAGCCGTCGATGTTCATGATCATATCTCGTTATCATCTTTGACAGATTGTCGTTTGTATCGGAAACATGCAGGTGTCACTAAAGTCTCTGCACGGATCTTCATCCACACAGGGTTTGACGTTTTTTTTATTGTGCAGTTGTCTGACATGTTTTGCAGTTGGTGCCCCGTTCGCGCATTGCAGTCACGTCCACCATTAGGGAATGTGCCACGGAGCTGCGCTGCCAAAGACGCCATGAAAACTGCTCGCGTCAATATGCAAGTGCGGATCTCTTTCTCTACAGGGGACCCAAATTAATTTCGCGGTTGTATCACCATTGCCGGCTGCTCCCATAGCACTTAGCATGTCGCCAGGACGTAGCCATAGGGGGTGGATGTGTCTAATTGGTATTTTAAGTTAAGGAAACCACGTAGGACAAAGTTTACTTGACTTGTGGAGCATGGCATGAACATAGCGAGGAAGGAAAACTGTAGTCTATTCTAACTGGGAAACTGTTGGTTTATTATCATCCTGTTATCACAATTGCCATTCCCGCGTCTGTTCCGTTAATTGCCCGTCCTTGGGTGTCGGTCAGAGCTAGGATAAACTGCTACTTTAGCGGTTCCTGCCAAATTGGCACCGTTAAAATGCTTTGCTGACTTGCTTGGCATTATTGATCCCACCTGCGATTTAACAACGTGATTAGATGACTCAACTAAATTCGTCTTATAAGACTGTATGTTGGACTGTTGCCGCTGAAATTACCACCACAAAGGGCTGCATGTAGGGCGCCTGCAATCTGTATCTGACGTCATAGCCCCATACGTTTATGTTCCTTCCATAGTTCCTTTTTCCTACGTTCTGTCTCTTATCTTTTCTCCCCAGTTGCATACAAAAGTCTGAATAACGGCTGGAGATCATAAATATCACAGCGTCAACATACTAGAGTCAAGGACGTTAGCAACTATAGAAGTGCCGGCGATGCGTTTTGTGTCTTGACATTGCGATTTCCGTGATCCATGGACCCTGCCATTCCTCCAGTAGATACCCGAGAAGATACGATACACGTACGTTACCATGACGACCTAATGATATATATCCGTCAGATTCACGCCAGATATACATGCCTTTGGTGAGCAGATCTAAAGCTACAGGTACACACAATCGTTCAAAGGGCTGACTTTGTACCATGAACGATTTTCCATCATCCTTCAGACGCCTCCTGTATCGATATGGTGGGCGGTAAAGAATACCGGGGGCGGGTACGCGTTGTAGGGCAAACGTTATCTCCTGGTGAGTTGGCCAGTTAACAAATAGTCTGGAAAACAAGTTCGGACAGTCTTGAAAAGCATGCTAGTTTGTGGTAGTGGCTGTTTTTTTTTATTTCGAGGTTGTTGAACCTGATAGACAAAGTGGGAAGGCGCGTGATGGTTTAGCTAATATTGGGCATACATAAATAGATACATACATGCATGCATGGACATGTCAAGTATCAGATTTGAATATCAGCTACGATTGCTTTCCAGAAATGTACATTTTGCATTTTCCCCCGGAATTCTTAATGTCAGATTTGAAGCATTGTCACACATACGAATTTTCAGCAGTCCTGTCTCTCTTCTCAATACCCAGGTCCAATTGCTGTCATGTTATCCAACATGGTGAGGAAATCAACACATAACCGGACCAAAAAGTACAATGCTACTTATTGAATGTTGTTTTTTAAGTCTGAAAGGCAGATATTTTAGAAATCACGTGGAGAAAATTATCAACGTGTAGCCGGATGATTTTGCTAGAATGAAACGAAACGTTTACGTTTGCAGTGAACTCCTTTGGAGAACGACTTGTTGCTTTCACCCACCGATTGCAAAATACCTGGCAGCTATTGTTTTGACTGCCAGGTGCTGAATGAAAATAATAGCAGGAAACGATTTCATATAAGTAGGCAGGCTAATCTACAACATCCGCCAGTCGAGACCTTGAATGTTTCGCAGTCTGATATCTGATCTCTGCTCCAACAGCACATCCGTAATTCATCCGAAATCTGGCTCGACGATCTAGCAGGCTCATGACGACGTGATATTCACGATGTTAGCTATCACAGGCTCCCATCTCAGGTTCTAATAGGTTCACAAACCCGGACTGTGTACGGTATCGAGCGATGCAGGAAGACGAATCGTGCTGGCTAAGTGCCATTGGCAGTTCTCCAGAACCAGAACCAGATTAGCATAGACATTCCGGAGAAAAACACGCAGGTGCCTGCATCCATCATCCGGCAGAGACAGAAGTGAAGACCTGATAAGAAACAAGCCGTCAGATGTAATGTCCATCACCGGCTCACGCCTCTGACGCCATATAAGGGGCCTGCATGCCCTTTTCTGTGAGGCGTAATCAGGCCTTTTAGTCATCGTAATCTGTAGGCAGGCTCCTCCAAAAATCAACGTAATTTGTAATAGTACATTAGCCGGAAAGCGTAAAGTCTTAATTAGCTCTGAGAATTTAACGCAATTCGTAAACGGCGGCGAAAATTTTGCGTAATTCGTAATCACTACCCCCCCCCCCATGCAGGCCCTCATCTATGGACAAAGTACCGACACACAAAGGAACGTTCTAAACGGTTCGAACACCATCCTAGTTACCCAGGGATGTGTTGATGGATTGATGGTTGGGATCACACAGGAGGATCAATAGACAGCACAAAACTGATGGATGATCTTGGTAGCACCGAATACAAAGTATAACCAGCGAACTATGGCATTTGACATTATCTATGAATGGATATCCGTGGGCAAAATTACGTTGAGTACAAAGTCGATGTTTTATGAACTTTGAGCTTGGTGAAGTTTGTTTCACACAAACGAGCAACAAAAAGTACAGCGACTTTTGTATGGTCTTCTACAACTAAAGATCTAACAAAGCTAAATACATGTGTGGACAACGTCATCCTACGTACAGAATATATGTATGCGGTAACAATAAAGGTTTAACTATTCTCTAACATGTAGTCTCTAAGATCGAAACATAACTAGGAGGATGATGCCGGAATTGGTAAAAGCTGTCCGGCTTGGAGCAGTCATCTTTAACGATTAACACATCGATCCGTTAACCGATAAGCGAAAAACAATCAAATTATTAGACAACTTGGCACCCGGGGGGTTGCTATGGCAGTACATTTATAAAATCAACGACAGACAGACGTGTATCTCTTCGTTCATTCTATAACGTTTTAATAAGATGTTGATGATTCTCGATTTTCCTACAACAGATTCAAACGCTCTCTTAGATCGCTTAGCTTACCTGTACTATCAATTTATCTTATGACAATTAGAATATTATTGATGATGATTAGTCATCATGTTGTCTGTGTATCTTTAAAACATGGTTCTATGTTTTTAACCGGTGATTGCACTCCGTTGAACCCAAGCCATATCCATAAATACATATATCATATACCTGACATGTAAGTAGTCTGCATAATTATCCAGCTTTGTCTACCACAAGGATCTACGGCTCTGCTCCACAGGCTATCAGACAGGTCGTACATGCCTGTTCCACTCCTTTTCAAGGCTCTTGTGCCATTGAGAGACTATTACGAAAGCACTTACGGCTCCTGGCTGTGAGTTACAGCAGGCAGGAATCACGGAGATGATCGTAATAAAAGTGGAAGGGTTTATCTGGAAGCCGAACTACGCTCGTGATCAGCCATTGAGTCACTGTTTGAACTTTTGTCTGACGACTCTTAATGCTGCACCTGCAGGCTTTAATGGTAGAATCTTGTCGACAAGTAATGTCTGTCTATTTATCTCCAAACTACATTTGCGTAGTTATGTACTGGTTCATAATTTAGATGCAACTTGTAGAACCTATAAGAGATTTTGGACTGTCAATCAATCCAATAACTGCAAGGGATTAATTGAAGTACTTAATCCACTGTACCAGGAAGCTGTATTAACGTCTCACCAACATGGAGGTGGAAGTAACAGCGATAATAGATATCACCATTCGTATAAGAAGTAGACTCTGTTTGCTATAAAGAAGTTCAGACAGTAAATGTACACTGCAAACTCACCCATATCCGGACCGCTATCTTGTTATATTCTTTAAGAATACGAGCATACACGAGCGGATGTGACTGAGATTCCAGTCGCAATCGCTCGTATATACGGCAAGATAGCGCCCGGATATGAGTGTATCCGAACCTATTTTGTCCAGTTGTCCAGCATGTTGTAATGAGTAAAAGAATGATTCATAACCCAATTTTTACATTCCCTGCAGAAATCTGTCTGCAGAAATCTTCCTATAGACGTTGGTAAACTCTTGACCTCCCAATTCTCCTCTTCAGCCTGGAAATGATAGGTTGTCTATGCCCTGCGGCAAGTCGATTTGCTTGCTTTGATAACGTTAAAAGATTTGAGAGGCGGTTTCGGAGATTACGGACTGTGGGAAGGCTCGCTGTAGTAAGATCTAGTAAGGCCATGTTGATTTGATTATATGGATGACATCCTCTGTGAACCCCAAAACTGATGCGAGCGTGCGATTAAAATAAAAAGTTTGGCCAAAAAAAAATGTTGCTTTCATCATTATGAAATCTACGTGGTTTTGAAGGTTGAACAAATGATACAGAGTAAGGTATGGCGAATAATCTAGTCTTCAAATTCATTTCTTTATATTTTCGTTTGATTTTGGCATTCTACGACATTGGTATCGTTTTCCAATATTTTTTTCAACTTACGGTATATATTTGCTCATTTTGAAACCGTTTTGTACAATTTACAGTATGATGGAAAACTTGATTTTAACTTTATTGTTTGTCTGGAAACGGACAAAAAGTCATGCGCACGTGGATGTCATCCATATAATCAAATCAACATGGCCTAAGTACGGAGCAGCATATAAAAACGTAGGCAGCAGCTTTACGTCTTGCCTCAGGGAGCTACTGAAGCATTCCCTGGAATCTCTCGATCTCCGAGAATTTGATCGAGAGACGTCAGCATCATTCGTGTAGGAACAGTTGCTGAAAACAGCATGTTGGAACAACTAAAGGATGATTTATGACACAATTTTTACACTGCCTGCAGAAAATCTGCCTGCATGAATTTACCTGTAGACGTTTGTAAACTCTTGACCTTCGAATTCGCCTCGAGGGCGATCTTACCCGGGTAATGCCCTTAGCGAGACAGTTTTAAACGCTTCCAGCTGCGCATTTCCACCTGGTGTCTCTGTCACACTCAGCCGACCTGTCTGCAGTTTTTATGATTTTGTCATTTATTTATTTGCACCAATAAAAAACATTAATCAACAGATATGGAAAACAAAGTAAACGAACAGTGTGCATGGGAAAGAAGCCTGCAAGTCTAGTACAATGTCCTTCTCCTTCAAACCTAGAAATATTAATCATAAAACTTACATGATAAATTGACTAAATAAAACCTAGATATATCAGAACTGATTCAAATCAAAGTTGGTGTGTTAAGCCGAAAGGCGGTTATACCGGCTATACAGATACAGATACAGATCTTTGTATAAGCAAACGCAATACTAAAGTTCCGATCCCCAGGACTCTACCAAGGCTCTGTTATGGCAGCTCCTGTCAGCGCGATGCGAAGTGTCGAGCCAGAAAGCACTTTCTTCTGCGTTCATCTGTCAGATTCACTACAGCAGATAACTCCAACATGGCGGCTGATGTAATACGTGATCCATTTATAGCCTGTCCTTGCGCACCCCCGGGCTCTTACCGTCTATCGGTTTATTGTTAAAACGCATCCGACTTGGCAGTCATCGGGATATCTTGACGTCGCAAAATTATTGACTGATGTTGAGCGCCGATAGAGAGTGGCGTTATGACTTACCATCCATCATAAAGTACTGGCAGCACTCTGTTTTAAAAGTCACCCCCACAACTTACTGTTTTGAAGGCGTAGGGTAGATACGCAATTTTAGGGCGAGCAAAACGTCAACTGCCTACAAGGCCACAACAAATAATTGTATTGCTGTGTTGCTTTAAATGTGTATTTTGTGTAAAACAATGTTTAAATTTCATATAGCATTACCATATTGATGTAAGTCTCCTCGTTTCAGATCATCTACAAATATAGCTCGAGATCATAGAAAATGAATTTGCTGCCACTTAAATCTTATTGCAAACGTTTGATGCTTTAATGTTAACGTTTGTGACCAAAATGTAACCTTCTTTCAACCAAACCTTCTTCAGGAACACTGACCCACTCCCTGCGACCACGTGACCTTACCCCACCCTGTGTTGTGTTCTCAGGTTTCCTGAGCGCGGGAGATCCCGGTCTCCTAGGCAACTACGGCATCCGGGACCAGATGATGGCGCTCCAGTGGGTGAAGACCAACATCGGCTACTTCGGCGGGTCCGGCTCTGACGTCACACTGTTCGGCCACCAGACGGGGGCAGACTGCGCCGCCATATTGCTGCTGTCTCCTATGGCTAAAGGTGATGTTTGTTTTATTATGTTAACTGAAGGACAACATATTGTTTTTGCTACATTTCTTCTTCATCTTATTCTCCAAACAGTGACTTCTGACCTTACTGAACCAGACTGTCTCTCACCATGGTAACTGGTGTTGGGTTACATAATGTTGCAATTTCATAGCAGGAGGAATTTAGACGTTAAAAAACTATTGGTCATAGTTGCCAGCTGATATGAATAGTCAAGGGAAAACAAATGTCTCACTGTAGATCAGAAGCTCAATCATATATTCTTTGGCAGTTAAGTCATATTTTGTAGGACACTATCCACTGCAGAGTTTTGGAAGGATGTGATTGTATAGAAGTAGCTTTTAGTGATCGTCTGTCGATCGATAAGACACTTAAAGATGAAGGTAAGGAACCCAGCGGGGCTCCTGAGCTAGGTCCCAGAGCTTCTGCATCTAAAAGCATCTGGAGGTGCAGAGCGCGCTGAGTGAGTGCAACTCCATTCTTCATTCGTGTGAGGGAAAGTTAGAAATAGAACACATGACAGCTTACATCAGACGTCTGGGCCTGCTAGTCCTTCATAAACACATTACCGCGTTTCCTACCGTTGCTAAAAGCACTAGAGGTCGGGCAGTAATGGTACGTGTGGGGCTGTCCTGAAGGCTTGTCCTTGGTGCTACACCGTTTTAGTGCCTTCCATTTGTCAACCTGCACTTACATTAATGACCGGAGTCCGGTACTACGTGCGAGTTTTGTTGCCTCTAATGTCTCAAAATTGCGTTTCCAGAGAGTCCACAGAGAAGGAAGCTGTTTCTTTCTGATCTATAAAAAGTAGTATAGGTTAAGTGATTTGACTCACATTTGCGGGACAGTACGTGTGGCGGGGGGACGGCCCAGTGTGAGATCACCGGAATGTTATGTCGAATGGCCTCCACCGGGTCATCGAACTGGGTTAGACTTTGGGTTAGACATCTGTTGACTGTTGGTGGTAGCGAAATGTTTGTTGGGTGTGTAAAACCTACGTTCATCATAGTGTTAATACCACCACATAACTATGGGAATAGTTTATTTGTCGGTTCAACGATAACGTCCATATAGGAAACATGTACACAGTACTAGTGGCTGATATACGGTATGGTCCCGGGCACTACTGGACTTTACAATGGTACTGAATAAAAGTCAAGTATGGTGATTCCGTATTTAACAAGGGTTGTAAATGAAATTACCGTAGTTGACTGTTATTTACTACCATTGTAGAGCCAGATACGTACAAAGTAAATCCAACGTTCCGTGCAGTCGTACTGACTCATTAACAATATCGCGGATATGGGTCCTTTTCTACCTGAACTAAAGAATGAAGAAAGATATACGTTTAACATTTTTGTTACATTTGCTAGTTCATTACGTTCTTATTTTTTTTTGGAGGGAGGAACAGAGAGAAAAAGAGATACAGATAAACTGACACATGAGCAATATCGCAGAGCTTGTCGGTATTCACCAATATTGCACAGAGCGCCGTAAAGTCTCTCACTCATCCGATGATGGATCGAGTCTTTCTGCGCGTTTCCCGGAGCCATTAAAAAACATCCCCACGGCGCAGGTAGACTCGCCCAAGGTCACGGTACAAGTCGGAGTGCAACCGGTACAGGAAATTACCAGTAAGTGAGTAGAGCGCGTCATCTGTTGCCCGGATGTACATGTCTAGCGACGTTTGTGCATTGGATCTGCTTCTTCATTCACATTAAATAGAATATTCAAAGACAAATCAAACTCTGTTACTGGATAATTAACGGAGATAACTTCCGGATGTTTCGAGTGACATCCCCCTTCTTCATCGTCACTAAATGAACTGAGAACACAAGTTGACACTAATCACAGGAAATTACCAGTAAGTGAGTAAAGCACGTCATGTGTTGCCCGGATGTACATGTCTAGCGACGTTAGTACATTGAAGCGGTTGCTCTTTGTTGCTTCTCCGTTCATATCAACGACGCGTTGTGCGAGAATACGTGTACAGCTTTTTTTTAAACTACTGCGTCACAGGCTAGGTTTGATCTATCATTTTGCATCGGTGCATTGAATTTCTGCCTTGAATGCGGCGCGTTACATATAGCTGATGTGATGTTTGATAAACCGGTATAAGTCCCATATACTGCGCATTATTGGTATGTGGATCATAAGGCATGTGGGACTGTGTACCCTGGGGAAGAGGGAGGTACACTTGCCCCTGGTGAAGCACGTACAACATGGAGGTATAGCAGGACCTTCAACGATGTTCACATCTACATTAGCGTTTTAGATTATTTCTTTATTTCTCTATTTAGCTTTTCCATTACAAAATGGTGGGGAAGACAAAGCAGGTGATTGCTCACCTCCTCTCGCTGTCACCTGGCAAACATACAAATTACATACACAAATGATAATAGATGCAATGTACGATTTGTAACAATTAACTGCAGTACTATACTATAGACTGACACTGACAATTATTCCGTAAAATCACGATTATAATTGTTCTTTAGAGGACTGAATTTTATTTTTAGGTATTTTAGAAAATCCACTCCGTCGATATTGTTTAACGGAATCCTTTTGGTGATTGTGGCGTTATCCGATAGAGAAGACTGGTTACGTCAACCCGTCAAAGTCAGATTCTCCTCCAGGCTGCCTCGTACGTGGTTTATGCAGATCTGTGCAGAGCGACTAGCTTCTATCAACGTGATCTCACAACAGCCTTTTAGGGACCCATTCTCCACAATCCTTCCCCACTGTCAGAAGCTCCATTAGAAGGCTCTGCTGATGGCCGTGACTTGTTCGCAGGGACCCTAATGCTGTAGCCGGTTGTATAATTCCCGCATTACCCTTTCGGACCTAAGTGTCCTGGGCCCGAACTGTTAAACATCTGAAGGATTATATACTGTGTTATGTAAACCGGGGCTCGTTCGGAAAATCGCATCACCAAGCAAACTTAGGTAGAGTCTTATATCAAAGTACGGGACACTTGGTTTAATATAGATTTACCCTGAATCAAAGAAAACTGCCGTCTTTAAGTTTTCCGTTTCAATGACAGGACCTGCTTAAGAACATACCAAAAAGTGGTGCAAGCATTTTTAAGGGTGGTTTAATATCTATTAGCTTGTACCAATCATTTATAGACTCAGAGGCTGCAGGAAAAACGATACGATTCTAGACTTAAACATCGCATTAGGTGTTCGAACGAGGGGGAGTGCTGCCACGCTGCGCCCCTGTTTTCTTTATGTACGGCAGGGTCAGAGACCCTACATATGTCACTGTCAGCCGGGCCGTCAACAGAGGCGTCCCCGTCAGTCAGACATAACGCGAGGTGATGGTTCCTCGGACGGATGTGTATTATCTGTCCTCTGCAGCAGGCGCGGGCTCATTGTGCCTCCCACCCGAGGGGAAAAACGACTCAATGGCGAGAGAAAGTCAAAGTGAGTTTACAGAAAAGATGGCGGGTTGCCGACGCGCGGTAAGCCCTGCCCCGCTTATTTAGGCCACAGCAAGTAAATTTTATGGATGACATCCTCCGCAGACTCCAAATCTAATGCGAGCGAGCGAAAAAAAACAAGACGGGCCGACAAAAACAAGTTTCCCACATTTTAAAATTTTGACTCAATCATTGTACAAATGGTTTTGTTTCAGAAGGAACATCGCATATACACAGCCAAAACCACATATCACTGCATCAAAGTAAGAAACAAAACATCAGAAATCAGAGCCTTAATTTTCTAGTTTCCTTTCTTTATAGTTAGCTGCCATTCACCTTTCTGCATCTTTGCCCATTTTCGGCATTGTGACCACTGTCAGAAGGCAACAAAATTTCTTGTTTTTTTTCGCGCGCGCTGATGTCATCCATAAAAATGACTTGCTGTGGCCGTAGATGCGGGCAGGGTCAACCGAGTTCGCGACTATCTCAGCGCACATGATGACTGACGGCTACAGCAGGCATGTTTCCCTAACATGTCGTGGCGCCAGCAGTTCTTACCGTTATCAGCTGTACCAGCTCCTCTGGGATTACTGTAGGCTCACGGATGCATCAGCCGAAACTGAACTCTAGTCAACGCAATAAGGATGAAATAAAAGAACCACTTTGAGTTAGAATGCAGGGCTTCACCGAGGAAAACAAAGATACAAACGCTTGCACTTGTTAAACAAGTAACGGTTGTGAATAAAGGACTTCAATTCTAGAACTCAAGAACTTCTATTCAATCATTCACCGACCTAATAAAATTATTATCTATTGAAACCACACCATCTCAATGTATATTGACCCTCATGGAGCAAAAGTTCCCAAAAGTCTGAGGATGAGGGAAAATGGTTACTGGAATGGCCTTTGGCTGATTTTGAGGGTATCACTCAGAAAATAAAGGACTCATCTTTGGGCTTGTTTCTGCAGTTTTAAAAGCCCAAAGTATGAAATACTGACTCAAATGTGAAGCAATATGTCTCAATATCACATTGCCTTATTTAGAATATGCCCAGTTCTGTTGCCTTGAAATCGCATTGGATGCCTTTAAAGCCAGTTTTTGCCCCCATGTCGCAGGTCTGTAAACACAGGACAAATACAGGACAGACGATACTCATTTTCACTTGAGGAAAGTGCTTTTCACAATGGCACAAGATCGGTGGCATGTCAGGACTCGAACCCGGGACTTCTTGGTTCCGACTCGAGCACTCTGCCGTTACGCCACATGACAGACTTTTAAAGCCAGTTTCTTCCCCCATATCACAGGCCTGTTCAAGCGGGTGAACATATGGAGTTTGACAGACTTTAAAGCCAGTTTTTGCCCCCCCCCCCTATTCCACAGGACTGTTCAAGCGGGTGATCCTGTCCGGCAGCTCCCCGTTGCGGCCGCTGCTGCTCCGCTCGGCAGACGACATGCGGAGGGAGAGTTACCAGCTCGCCGTCACCTTAAACTGCGGCGGGTACGACAACGCCGCCGGCATCGCAGACTGCCTCAGGAAACTCAAGTACCAGGTGTTCCTACAGCGAGAGGTGGGTGTTGAATACGTATCTGATCAAGATAGATCGGAAGATATGTAGCATGTAGAGCAAATCATATTGTAGAAGAAACTTTTAATTAAAGTAAGATTATACAAAACAAAATCTCGAACACAATTTCATCTAGCCATAAATCTACGCACCCGGGTAAACACTTGCTCTAGTTTTAAAAGTTAGAAGGTCAGGTGTTTCTACAACGGGAGGTGGACTATCTGATTGTTGTAATTATTTACCGTAGGAAAACATATGGTTTTTGCTCAGTTTCCTCTTCTTCTTCTCTTGAACCAACAATGTCAGTGTCAATGACCTGAACCAGACTGAACCTGACCTGAATAAGCATCTGATCAAGATGGATTGGAAGATATGTAGCATGGGGAGGAAATCATATTTTAGAAGAAATTCTTAATTAAAATAAGATTAAACAAAAACCTCGAACACGGTATGATATGTGCCCGGGTGAACGCCCGCTCTAGTTTTAAACTTTAGATTGCCAGGTCTTGATGTCTTATATGATGTATTTGTTGACGAGCAACCAAACTGTTGCCTGTAGAGATGTATGTGATGTGTTAGTTGGAGTATCCAGAATGATGTGCTATATGATGCGTTATTTGATGATGACCAAACTGCTGCCTGTACAGGTTGACAAGTTACATGATGTGTTAGTTGATGAGTAAACAAACTGCTGCCTACACAGTCAAGTTGATGAGTTAGTTGATGAGTTAGTTGATGAGTTAGTTGATGAGTTAGTTGATGAGTTAGTTGAATAGCAGGTATATGACATGTTAGTTGGTGAGTAACCACATTACTGCCTGAACTGGTTGATGAGTTATATGATGTCTTAGTCGATGAGTTACCATGCTGAATTACCAGGCTTCTGTTATGTATCATATCGATGTGTTATTTCATGAGTTACCAAACTGCTGCCTGTACATAGTGAGATTGATGAGTTAGTTAATCTTCTGTGCAGGCTGACGGATCTGTACCCGGGTCCACGCTAACCCCTGTACTAGACGGCCAGGTCGTGCCGGCCTTGAAGTGTTAGTTGATGAGTAACCCTGCTGGTTTGTTATGTCCAGGCTGACGGGTCGGTACCAGGGTCCACCCTAACCCCTGTGCTAGACGGCCAGGTCGTGTTGATGATGTGTAATTGTTAATGTCTGTCCAGGCTGACGGCTCTGTGCCCGGGTCCACCCTAACCCCTGTGTAAGACGACCAGGTCGTGTTGATGTTGTGTGTTTGTTGATGTGTTTGTACAGGCTGACGGGTCGGTTCCCGGGTCCACCCTCACCCCTGTGCTAGACGGCCAGGTGGTGCCGGCCTTCCCTGACGCGATGCTGCGGCGGCTGCAGGTGAACGGAGAGGCGTGTCTGCTGGGCTTCACCGGCAGGGAGTGGGCACCCAGAGGTGAGTACTTTTTTATTACGTTTACCTTGAAGTTCGTAGAAGGAAAATATTTCTTTTTGCTCTGTTTCTTCTTCCGTTCCAAATCCAGATGGATCAGACACGTCAGTTACCATGGTAACTAGTGCTGTCGCAAACTGTTTTGTTGGGTTACACTATGTTGCGAGTTGCAAGTCAGAGTTGGATTTGGTGTCACCATACCCTCGTGGAGGTAAACAGTTATCATTTGCATTTTTTATATATTCTATAATTATCTCAATACTCCCACCAATGACCACACAATAGTAAAATTATGTGAATTTATCTTCAGTTGCTTTAAAATGAGAGAAGAAATCTTTAAGACTTAGATTGGATAAGATATAGTAGCTAAGACTGCTGGGCTTCACCGGCAGGGAGTGGGCACCCAGAGGTCTGTGTTTTTTTATAATTCAATTACTCCTATTATTACCACTAATGGCCACACTATAATAAAATATGTGAATTTATCTTCAGTTGCTTTAAAAGGAGAGAAGACAGATTTGATAGAACATAGTAGCTAAGATTGCTGGGCTTCACCGACAGGGAGTGGGCACCCAGAGGTTTCTGCTTTTATAGCAAGTTTATTGCAAATCCATGCCCGAGGGCTAATTGCAAAAACATGATAAAATAACGAACAATAAAAATGATAACAGGCAAATTAAATGCTACTTATGATATTAATATGTTTCTCAGTATTCATGTACATGTAACATCATCAGTATGTTAGCATGAGAGTTCATCAGTGTTGGAAAACTTCATTGTGACAACATGGCCAAACGTTTAGCATTTTTGTCATAATCATCAGTATGTATTTAGCCCAATGTACATGAATATGCAAAAATTGATTGATTGATTGATTGATATATTCACAGATATTTACACTTCGTAAATTACATGTGCCATAATTCATAGCATTCTAAATCGTTTCTGTGATAAAATATAGCTCCATTACCCTTATGCGTAAGTGTTAAAGGGAGCAATGAACAGAACGAATTATCTCTTTAGCCATATTATTGCATATCCAGGCCCTTTACTCCATATCCAGTAAAGGGACACATAACATGATGCAGTAAAATTGGTCCCGTTCTGCGTGTGTAGGCGGGAGGCACTGTTAAATCAATAATCACGGCAATATATCTGTCTCCGGCCCTAAAGGCTTCATTAAAACCGTATCAGTGTTGGGGACGGCGGAGGTAAATGGTTGACCCCAGCCGGATCCGGGCAGACTGCTGACGGTTTCATTGGGCCGTAAATCCGTCCGTTATGGATCGAAGGCAGGGGAAATGTGTCTTTATTGGGCGGGGGAAGTGATTGAGTCTCTGTTAGCCTGCTTTCCTCCGCAGGACCGCCCAGGGGGTAATGGACTTCATCATGGCGCGAAGCCGAAACGTTTCCATAGATCCACACGTCGATACGTGATGGGTACGGGAGACTTATCTTTCTAGTGGAAGATGCACCACCCATGCCTAGGGAAAATGTTGTGTTTCCTGTCATATCGAGGGTTCGAATCAAATTGGGAATAGGCTTTTTAAATCACGGAATTAATTTAAAAAAAAAACGATGAGCGTTGCAGAATAGAAGCCCGACACACCACCTAGGCCTAGGGAAAAAATGCTGTGTTTTCTGTTTAGTCCTAAAAATAGTAGGGTCCATCTTATACAATGCAGTTTAACAAGGTAAAACTTGCATGAGGACACTTTTAATGTCAATGTTAGAAAACCGGGGAAGTGATTGAGTCTCTGTTAGCCTGCTTTTCCCCGCAGGAGCGCCCGGGGGTAATGGACTTCATCACGGCGCGATGCAGAAACGTTTCCATAGATCCACACGTCGATAAGTGATGGGTACGGCAGACTTATCTTTCTAGTGGAAGATGCACCACCCATGCGTAGGGAAAATGTTGTGTTTCCTGTCATTTCGAGGGTTCGAATCAAATTGGGAATAGGATTTTAAATCACGGAATGAATAAAAAAAACGATGAGCGTTGCAGAATAGAAGCCCGACACACCACCCAGGCCTAGGGAAAAATGCTGTGTTTTCTGTTTAGTCCTAAAAATAGTAGGGTCCATCTTATACAATGCAGTTTAACAAGGTAAAGCTTGCATGCTTGCATAAGGACACCTTTAATGTCAATGTTAGAAAACCGGGGAAGTGATTGAGTCTCTGTTATGCCGAGGTCACATTTCCAAACCGGGGCCCGGCCGGACTCTTTATATGAACGAAAAACTCACAATTCATATCAAGAATATACAGATAGATTGCCCATCTTTTATTTTCTTTGACGTCAGTAATATACATCTTATACAATGCAGTTTAACAAGGTAAAACTTGCATGAGGGCACTTTTTAATTAATGTCAATGTTAGAAAGCCGATTGTGCAACGTTTTTTCACTCAGGTGTCAGATCATGAAGCTAGAAAAGGTTGATCAAATCGAAATATTAAATCCCTTGCAGGGGCACACCCCCAAAAGAGTCTAGGGTCTGCAGGTTTTTCTAGGGTTGGTCGGGAAACAGGAAACACAACATTTTTTGCCTAGGCCCCAGTACCTATCAACGGTGCAACACAATGAAGCACCGCCCATACCAGTTGACCCCGTGTCTCGGCATTCATTTCCAGGATTCGTATCAAATTGGGAAGAGGCTTTTCAAATCACGGAACGAATAAGAAAAAAAAAACGATGAGCGTCGCAGAAGCAATTTGCGGGGCCCGGTGAAGTGTTGCCTGCGGAGGATTAGGGCAGATATTGGTTGCGAGATGCGGAACTCACCAGGCGTCCATGAGCTGGGATGAGATTACGGGAAGGCGTAATAGAGTGATTCCCCTCAGATTAGGAATACGTTGACAATACCACGAGAAACTATTGGTCAATGAAATGGGAGAAACAGTAGCAGCATTGAGTTGGCAACTATAGTCGGCCACAGAATAGACTCTCCCCAACCCCATGAAGGGGGGGGGGCGTCTTCCCGCTGTCTGAGGGGCCAGAGAGCGTCAAGGGCGAGAGTTTTGAAAATTGAACCATCTGGAATGGCATTTCCTGCGTTTTCCAGATGATTTCATAGGAAAAATCAGACATAACTTTTTATTAAATGACAAAGTGACCGTTTTTTTACTCGTACGACTCCAGTCCCACTGTTTATGCGAACCAGTCCATCTTTTCAAGAAATATCTTGGGCCTTAAGATAAAAAGTGGACCTTTGAGCCTTGTGGATACGGGCTACGGGCATGCTCCCGGCAGACCAATCAACACCAGAACACATCCGGAGCTCCGGGCCGGACGTCCGGCTCCGGTCTGATCCGGCTATAATTGCACCCGTCCCTGGGAGATGTGAAAACGCCGTCCGCGGGCTCAGATGGTGAACCCGAAGCACTTTCTTCTAGATGGAGATATCTCCTCTGGGCCTACTTCTGTGCAGTACATGTACATAGTCATGGAAAGGGTAGCCATTCTGTGACAGCTAATGTAGGGCATTGATCTTAAGATGTGGTAAGCACACTTGGAGTACAAACTTGCGGATTGTACTCAGCTCAGGAACTACGGGAAATCAGAGAGGCCAGAACAAAATATCGGCATAGATGTAGGAACTGCTAGTATATCATTTTACCGGATACCCCACCTCCATACAGTGAATTGTAACACAATATCTATGTAGCAGGGAATGTATGAACGAGTTTGTAGTACTGTGTTTTCCGTATTGCTGATTTTTCGTTAATGGAAACAGCCCGGCCGGGCCCCGGTTTGGAAATGTGATGACATCAGCATAAGTGTTCAGGTCAGAAGCTAGCCCCTTGCTCCTCCGTGGATTCATTCAAATCTGACGAGTTACTGAGACATTCTAACAGAACCATTGTACCAGAATTTGGAATATTGAGTCATTGTAACAGAGCCATGCATGAGGACTGACCTAACTCCCTCCCTTTACTCCGCAGCCATGCCAGGTAGCGGGCCGGTGGCCATGGACGGCGGGATGAGTGAGAAGGACTTCCACCATCACATGGACGTGTTCCTGAAGGACCTCAGTCCGTACGCGCCGCCAGAACTCGCATCGCTAGTCACCTATCAGTACACCAACTGGTCCCAGGCGGGAGACAGGTTCACAACCACAGACAACTATATACAGGTAAGACTTGATTTTGTCCATGTTGGTCTATGATAGAATTTGAGATCGTCGATCATTAATTCAGGAAGACATGATGGTTCAGCCTTAATAAAACGTTGGAGTATGTATGTTATATATATATATATATATATATATATATATATATATATATATATATATATATATATATATATATATATATATATGTGTGTGTGTGTGTGTGTGTGTGTGTGTGTGTGTGTGTGTGTGTGTGTGTGTGTGTATGTATGTGAGTGAGTGTGTGTGTGTTTAAAATTTATTTTGTAATTGATCAGTGACACAATGAGAATAGTATACCAATACACTTTGAGATGTACGTATACGCTCGCTGATTTGTTCTGTTGAAGTCACTCAAACCTTGGAGGAAAAATATATGGAATCAAATGCTTCGCAAAGCCCCATCATTCTCCTGAAATCACCCTTACGTATTTTGATCTAAATTGTGAAATACATACATCATAGTGTTCTCCAACAATGAGATGATTCACATTTCAGACAATTCGTTGTAACTGTTAGCATGCAATGTCACAATTATATGTACAAGCAAAAGCCACTTTCAATATCTCTAAAAAAACAATCGTTTAGGCACCATCCTACATCTATGGCTCAATCGCAGTGTGCACTACTGTACTTTTGTCGCTACGGCCATGCAGACATCCGACGCTCAATAAAAGGGATAAATGTTGAACAGGAGTCACGCAGGAATCGGAATATGGACTCAAAGCGAAGATCTCCGTAGCTAACCGCCCAGGCGGCCATACAGAGCGGGTCGATACCCTCTACATTTGCAACCAACCAAAAAAAGTTCCCCACATTCCCACGTCCCCCACCGGTACCTTTCTCCTGAAATCACAATTTGGTTGTGAATCGCATACATTCATACTGACGGATCTCCACAATGATCCATATTTCAGACAACTCGTTGGAACTGTTAGCATGCAGTGTCAATCGCACTGATGTGCACTATAGTATTGTACGACCAGACAGACATTCGGCAGTCAATAAAAGGGATAACAGGAGCCAGGCAGGAATGAGGATGTGGGCTTAACGTGACGTAGCCTCTACCAGTCCTCTGGAGGCGGCTGAAAAGAGTAGAAATTGGACAAATATAGAGAGATAACATGCCAGGGAATTTGGTCCTCTAGAGAGTACAGTATGCCGCATCCGAAACTGTACTCTCTAGCGGACCGACTCTCCTGGCATGCTATCTCTCCATCTAGCCAATTTCTACTCTTTCCAGCCGCCTCCAAAAGACTGGTGGAGGCTGAACGTGAAGGTCTCCGTAGCTAACCGCCCGGGCGGGCCTGCAGAGTGGGTCGATACCGCCACATAATGATTCACATTTCAGACAATTCATTGGAACTGTTAGCATGCAATGTCAGAAGCAAAAGCCAGTTTTAGTATTTTGATTTTTTTCGTGAGTACCAGTTTTACTCCTTCTTTCAACACTTTTAATATCTTTCAAAAGCAATAGTTTAGGCACCATCCTACATCTATGGCTCAATCGTAGTTTGCGCTGCAGTAACTGTACTTCACTTGTTTCTACAATCAGGCAGACATTCGGCAGTCAATAAAAGGGATAAACGTTGAACAGGAATGAGGATGCGGGCTGAACGCGAAGGTCTCCGCAGCTAACCGACCAGGCGGGCCTGCAGAGTGGATCGATACCGCCCCGCACATATCCGTGAACGATCTGCTCACTCGGCATCGATTTTCCGATAAGTAACACGATGATTTGTCGGCGCGCAGAGATCCCGATGTCCAATGTCGGGCTAGTGTTACTGCTTGACCTGCAGTGACCCTGCTTGGAGACGTACGGCAGGTGAAGACACAGATCAGTCAAATGCACAGGTGCTTGTGCGAAGACGATGTTCAGATGGGAATTTTAAGTTGACAAATATTATTTTTGAAGATCACACAAACACAGAGATCTGTCAAAAAGGAAACACAGGCGGAGGAGATGTTAAGCAGGAAGTTGACAAATTTTATTCTTGAAGACAAAGAAGAAGCACAGGTGCTTGTTTGAAGACATTGTTCAGATGGGAATTTAAGAGTTATGAAATCTTACTTTTTTTTACATTGGGAACAGTAACTCTGAGATTCACATGGGGCTGTGACATTTCTTTGGCGACATAAAAAGACGCACAAGAAGGAGCACAGGTGCTTGTGCGAAGACGTTAAGATGGAAATTTAAAGTTGATAATTGCCTGGGTGCCAGACCCATAGCACATTAGGCTCAAAGTTATCCAGTGTGCTTTGTGTCTGGAACCCAGGCTAAGTTGAGAAATTCTATTTTGTTGAAAATACGATCTGTCAAAGATGAAGCTCAGTTTGGGCGGAGACAATGTTCAGATGGGAATTTTAGAGTTCTGAAATTATTTATTTTTAACTTACAAATTAGGAACAGTAATTCTGAGATTCACAGGTGGCTGTGACATTTCTTTGGCGACATGACAATGCGTATTCATTTTTTCACATTTGGGTTTCTTTGCCATTACATGGACAAAATGGATCCAACAAGAATTAAAAGCAGATCAGATTCGTGGGAATGTACATGAAACCATGTCGTGTCTCCTTGACTATGTCAGCTCTTTCTATCAACCCAGACTTGCCAACGTACAGTGTACGATCATATGCTCTGGGGTTAAGGATGCATTTAGAGACCTCCTTCCTTTCGGAAAGGTCGTCTTCCATTTCACAATATATATGTTATTCGTATTTTCATGGGAGAGCCATTCGCAGAGTCACTAATGTTTCCCATGTAACCTACAGCTACACATGCCATTCTGTCTGGCCATGTACTCCGTGCTTGATGAATGGTTATTTGTTTACCCGCAGACATATGCGTCTGTAAGACAGTCTGTACAGTACATGTGTGTTTGCCTTAATGGTTAAAAGATCACGCATTTGTGCCCTCCCATTCAGGCCATTAGTGACGCACTCTTCGTGGCGCCTGCAGTTTCTTCGGCCGAACGCATGATGGCGCTCGATCTCCCCTCCTACGTGTATCAGTACAGATACCCCACAGCAGAGGGAGACAGAAGAACTCCCATCAAAGGTACATCTTCTAATCTACCTATCAGGATCCAAATGATCAACAAAACTGAAGATCAAATGCATACCACTGCACAAAGTGTACTGTCTACAGTACGACTTTACAATGGTAGTATATAGAGTTTACAATAATGGTAGTGAATAGAGTAAAAAGACCGGTACATTACCTGACTTTATTCGCATTTACTACCATTGGTAAATCCAACTTTTCTTGTAGTGTACATGAGTGACAGACATACGCGATTCCAGACACCTTGTTTTGTGTCGTTATGTGGGATAGAAAAGTTCAACATGCACTACAAGTGGCTTTATTTAGCGTAGAACCGTTCAAGTATCACATGGTAAGTAAAGGTCCAGAATAATTGAAAGTTGAAAGACCCTTATTGTGCAAAGTACAGGTCCTGAATAAAGCAGAAGTAACAAACTTACAGCAATATGTGTGACAGGCTGAATAAAAGTTCTAAACGGGAACTATGCGGCTCCAGATGTCTTACTGAGGGACGACTGCGTGTGCAAGATGTCGGTAGCTTGAGGAATGAATCCCCTCTACTATATACTAAAAACTTACAGCAATATCTTCCCAAAACTATACAAATAACACTAGCATATTGGCTACACGCGATGAAAAAAAAAAAACTGTCGTGAAGTGTCCATGATTATCGACATACAAACCGATGTAACTGATGCATTTGTTTTGTAACGCCCGAAAAGTAATCTCGCGACGTCAATTGATCACCTCCCCGTGACAGAGGAACTGCATCATTAAGAGTTCCAGGTGAACCCTATAGATTCTGACATGTAGGTTATTGTAATGTTTATCTGTAATGGTCCAGGTGGGGGGCAGGATCTCCCAAACCGTGCGAACCTGGCGATGAGCATTGATTATTGCAGACATTAAGGATGACGGATCGGTGTTTGCCTGATTGGGAAGTGATCCTCCCTGCCCTTGCGTGTCTGATTTCATTTGCTCTTCCCTGTGGTCTTAAGTTGTGAAAGGCGTCAATGACCCACTGCTACCAAGTTCCAAACGGACAGAAGAGAGAGAACTGCGTAACAACGTGTAAATAAACTGAAGTTATCTTGAAATTTCATCTGTGTTGGTAGAAGTCATTATGAGCAAGATTGAACTGTAATTTCCAACACAATTGAGTTGAGTCCAATTTTTGTGTTGGAAATTACAGGTAAATCTTGCTCATGATAAACTGCAGTTGACTTACTGCTAATGTCCAATAATTCTATAATACTACTTTATTTAAATAGCGGTGCAGACACTGTGGTACTGACGATCTGTTGGTGTGTTGTTCCTGATGTTTGTACAGATGACGTTTTCCTGGTCTTCTCCGCGGGGGGTCCGCTGACACAGAGGGAGCAGACTCTCCGGCTGAGACTGGCGGATCTGTTCGGGAGTTTCATCAGAACAGGGTACACGTTTATTTGTCTATTTCTATTGATGAAGATTTACCACATTTCTGGAAGGATTGACATAACAGTTGACTATGACCTCTTCAAACCTGAGATCTGAGCTGCCTCTTAGTCAGTGTAATGTACAGTTTGCATTTGAAAAGAATAAATAAACAAACCTGAGATCAGACCGGGAAGGACCCCTGCTCTTTTTCATCACTGTGATTGGAACTTTAAAGTGAGCAGTCTTGTCGTACTAAATTCTGCCGTGCTGTAACCCTTACTGTATTGTGTATAGCAATAGGGAGGAATGCATCATGTAAGGTCGTATTCGCGAATTCAAAGATGACATCCCGTCTGTAGTTTTCAAATGTTGTGTCGGAAAAGATATCATCTGCAACGGGAAAAACTGATGCAAAGATGACGAAACATGCAAAGAAAACCGTGAAAAATCAGGGTTACGTGCAGGTGCAGTACATTCTGCCAACGTCCCGGTGCCCGTCATGTGCAACAGTGAAGAGCAGTGAAGAGTTCAATGACCGCGTACCGGCGAACCGGTCACATCTGCCACGGTGTGATCCTATAATCGAATCCCGGTCATGCTCAGACAATCGCTGATGACAAGGCAATAAACTATCTCCCGCTAAATGTCTGCTGCGAAACCCCAGGCAAACTCTACATGAATGGGCCGGTAGCCAAGGCAATCCATTCTCGTTTGATTTGTTGTCAAAAGCAACTTTTTTTGGTACGGCAGGTCCATTAGAATGGGAAAGGCCATTCTCACTGATTCCACCCAAAGAATACAGCTAGGGAAATTATGGCAGCAGTGTGTGATTTTATGATTCAAACTTTTTGAGTTTTACTGCAACTGTATGGTCTGGGATATGTTGACGTTAATCCGCGTGCAGATCAAACCTAAGGCTGACAGAAAGGCAAAATAAATGGCTATTAGTACTAGTAAATGAAAGCCTTGTAACGTGCGTCAGAGTGACAACTGGGGTTTTTGTGGTCTTTGCAGGAAGGTATTGACCGTTCTTTAGCATTAACAATGAGAGTAACAGTCCACGTTCTCTATAAGAAAGCATGCTTCTTGATGCACCATGTTTTGTGTTGTGTGAGTGTATGGGGATCATCATATAGCAATGACTCAATACCGAGGTGTTGGAAGTCATATATTTTCTGTGCTGCATTCTGCAGGGTTCCGAAATGGCAGTCTCGGCCCATGAATACATTCACTGCGGGGAGGCAGGACTACTTGAAGATAGGCAGAGAGGAGGCTGAAATGGACAGATATCCTCGCAGAAGACAAGTGACCTTCTGGAACGAGGTGTTTCCCTCCTTGCTGCGCGTGGTGGACAAGACTCGGCGGTCTCCCAGGCCGACCAAGCCGACGAAAGTGTCGCGGCCGACCGAGGAGGCCCCCGACATCACCTGGACCACAAAGGGGATCATCATAGGCATCATGGTGGTCGGCATCTTCCTGCCCGTGATGACGGCGTTCTTCGTCATGTACGTGGCCGACTTCAAGCAGCAGCGGCGCAACAGGAAGCTGCTGTATCAGATGTCGGACGAGCACAGGTACGCGCCGCCGCCCACGATACAGGTCAACGACAAACCGTACCATCTCCAGCTGTCAGAGGACGTCTGAAGGCGGGCCGCAAAACAGCAGTTGCCAACTCCACGCCGACTATACTCACGACGCGTTTACGACACAGTTACGAGCTTGTCCCGAGTGACGTGGTGGACTTGTCGCTAAGCCAGTGGATTTGTGCAGTTGTGTGAGTCTGTAGTTGTAGCCAGTGCTGAGCATGCAGACTCGTGTGGAAAGAAAAAGAACTTTGCGGACTTGGATCTGACGGCGAAAAGAAAGCGCGGTTCTGTTGGAGGTACACTCACGACGTTTGGCACGGTTTGATCATTCATAGGCCCTCCGGGGCTGAAGGAACTCAGGGCAGGAAAGACGCACATTTCGACATGCATTTGATGAGAATCAAAGAGCACCAAAGACATGGAACAAAGGGAACGTGTACAGTTCATTGGTCTGTAGTAGTTTTATTGTGTCTCTCAGCAGTTGCAGTCGATATCTATCTATCAAGTATGCCTGTTCGGCAGGCAATATGTATGCACAGAGCACTTCTTCTTCGTTTGCCGAAGGCAAGCCTGTTGCTTTTAGTTGACAGCTCTCCGATACTGTAATTGGAAAAGATGCGAACTTGCCTGTGAATTCTGCCAAATTGACTCGCGTAACGACGTTGTTTCTCCACACGCTAACAACTACACGGTATTGATTGGCGAATGTTTCATTTCTATATCCGGATGTATACCCTGAATGTTCCCAGACTCATGACGTGTCTTAGCGGTTCCCTCAGCAGCGATGGCGGCGGGTGACGGGATCGGAGGGAAGGCCTGTTGACAGGAAGCTCATCTGTGCAGGCCGTGATGAGACCGTCACCCGTCCGAACCCGGCGGATGAGGCCGATCCCCCTTGAGGCTCTGAGTGATGCCAGGGCTGCAGACGACATTCTGGTCACCTGCAGCCCCAGCAGATTTGTACTGTAGAATCCCGGCACCTTGCCAGCAACATTTGTATACGTAGAGACAGACGTTACCAGTAATGTATCTATACACCCGACTCTGTACAGACACCTGACACACTTGGGAAAGAGAATAGAGAGGATAAAAAGTCAAGCTGCCATCTCTCTGTCTGTGTGTGACAGATTCAGAGATCAATCCTATCGGTTCCATTAAGAACAGCAGATCTCTCAGATTTCTTACAAATCCTTACTTAATTGCGGTACAACTCATCTCAGTTTTGCTAATCGCGTAATCCTAAGACGGTGAATTGTTCGTGATGACACATTTCCTAAGAAGCTTTCCGAGACTCTGTAAGAAATTAATCTGGATTTACTCTAAATCCCACTAGCGACAAAAATAGACATTATCGCAATTTCCTAAGGTCAGAAAGAATATGTCAATATCGAGGAATTCGCTAACCCTGAAAAGAAGTCAAACAACAGGAAGCCAAAGACCACGAATACTTCAGCAGCCTCTTCCATCTCAGTTCCTTCTCAGGTGACTTGTGCCGTCTTTCAACCACAGTACTGTGTAACAGATCTTTATCCGGATGCCTAATCCTCGAAGCTTAGTCTATGGTATTGGCTTCCTCGCTAATCTCGTTGGAAATTTGCACTAAGATCCGCCTAGAGCCAAATCTGATTAGATTCTCCTTCTTCAAGGCTTTCAGGGGATCTGTTGGGATTGAATCATCGACTTTGTAATCTACAGACACAGAAATGGCAGTGTGACACTTGAATCACATTTGGAGACCGCACGAAGTGGTGATGCTTTTGTTCTGTGGATTTTTTCTGTACATTGTATGTATCTATTGTAAAGTACCAAATGTACTATTTTGTGCTACGAATGTAATTCCGTATATGTACCGTCTCTCTTAAGATATCCTGTGTTGTGAGTTTTACAGCTATGTTATACGTCAGTTTTGTCCCATTTTGTGGAAAGCAGTGAAAATTGGTCGTGTTGCAAGTAAGTATGTTTGACTTCCTCAGTGAAAAGCAGCGAATCAGGAGTGGATAGATTGGACAACGAAAACGGAAAAGCTTTAGGATGGTAATGAAAATCACCAGAATTTGTAGACCTAAAATGAAAAATGTGGACTTTTTATGATGCCCCTTAAATGCTGAATGCAACAATTTTGATAGAGTGAGTAGCAAATGGTAGGAAAAAATATCAAATCGAGTTTCAGAGACACCATTGTCTACAGTTTTTTTTTCAGACGGAATCATTTTGTAAGGTTTTCATCCTTCTTGCGTTTGCTCCCAGTCCTGTTGCCCTGGATACAGACTCAAATCTTTCCGGCGTATCGCGAACGCCGCCTACCGAAAAATGAGTGAAGTACAAGAGGCAATACAACAGAGTGGTAAATCGATGGAAGCGTTATACTTAGCGTGAATCTAACAGGCTCAAAGATGTCGAAACATCACAGGTGCCATCAGGCGCGTTGTCCCCTTGTCAATGAACTTAGTTCCCTGATGGCGAGCATGCAAAAAATCATTCTACAACTCCTCTGTTACGAGCCTAATTGTATAGTACATGTCGGTCTGCATGAATTCTAGGAATTTCGCAGGAATGTATCTATAGGAATCTGCCTTTAATATCTCGTGTAGGGATTAACAGTTCGTCATGCAATTATGGTGAATGAATAGTGATGATTGACATAATTATATGTAAAATGTGCAAATCAGGATGTAATTTGCATAATGAATTGTATCATACCATACCATATTGGTACATGACGTGAATTTTTTTCATCCTTTTGGCATTTGGAAAATTATCAAAAACAAATTATGCAAATCAGGGCCTCATTTCATTTCATTTACCTGAGCTAAATCTCCACCACAGATGAGAGTGATCATGAAACGCGTACAAAATATAGGTGACGTCACAACTATATTTACCCTTGTTCGTCATCACAGGTACGACGAATTGTCTAGCCAAGGCTGAAAATCTTCTGTACCTTTAAAAAGTGAATTTAGTTACAAGTTTCTTAAATCATCAACTTACCAGGTGATATGACAAGGATGCAGAGGTGTGTAGTGTAGGGTTAGATACGTCATTACATGTAAGATAGTGTCGATTATTTCAAGAAAAGTCAGAGAAAATGTAAGCGTAGATTTCCGAAGTGTCAATTCCGAGCTTTAGTGGATCAAGTTTTGTTTAGATTCTAGCAGATGTGTATTGGTTGATCTGGTAAGTTATTGACATTGGGAAATGGCGTTAGTAATATGTGAATATTTTGCAAGAAAACGCAAGATGCAAAGAGGATTTTAGGTCCCATCCTTTGAAGTTTCTAGAATCTTATTGTTTAAAGATGATCAACTTTGGTCTTAGATAACTGAGTCTTTATAACGAAAATTAAGGAACGCCAACGTTTGACAAAATCCACTGAAGGAAGGTACGCATGGGCACATGGCCTTTGCACCATACTGGTGCATTTCATACACGGAGAAAGTATTTTTGTAAGAAAATTGTGAGGATTGTAATATTCGTGAGTGGTTTGTGTGCACAGCTTTCACATAAGCACTTGACAGAAATGTACAGAATCTATAATAAACATCACCATGGCTCTTTTTTTGTCGCTTCATTTACTTGCAAAAATGAAAGGTTTAGGTGTTTTAGGTAATATGACAATTACATGGGGCTGCAAAAGGGGATTGTTAAGATTTGAGCTTCTCATGAATAAAGAATTGTTCGAACAAACGGTAATTTTACAATTGGAAGATTGAATGTTGGCCACATATTGAATATTTGTGCTACCAATCAGTTTATCTTCTCCAGGAAAATATTCAAATGTATACGTTCTCAACATGTATGTAGTATAGACATAGCTTATTACCATCCATGTGTATCTTAAAAAGAGACAAAGTCTTGTACAACAGACTCAGTCATCACACACAGTCACCGTATTGCTGCTCCTTTATTCATACTCATGAGGCTTGTTAGGGGACTTTCTCCAGTGCTGTACATACAACAATGCATAGATCAAAACGTACCAACAACGGCGTCACTGCGGCCCGGTAAAAAGCGTCCAAACACACGTCTGTACAAAAATAGTCTCATTAGGAAATCCCCTTCACATATTGTTTACACCAACAGTGAACTTATAACCCAGCTCCAATGGTACAAGCCACTTTTCTGGCTCAATATACTAACGGGTTCCGCTATTCCCAACTACTCTTAATCTTCCCCTAGCCAAAGAAAACCATTGCAACAACATATTATCTCTACCACGTTTTGGTCTGCTTGACGTACCAGGAGTACACAGGAATACCTATTGTTTCATGTCCAGTATGTCTAAAAAAATTCTCCCGATAAATAGGTTTTGCCATGTCCGTCTGCCGGTCAAACATTGTAGCCTTACCAAGCCTGTAACACACGAACTGCGATTAAATGAATCCAACTGACAACGTGCTGCACAATGCATACATGTATGTTCTCCTCTTGCGTCACTGTACATGTATACCCGGCACAAACATGAATTCTCATCCCACATTCCTCCCTTGTCTGTGTCTCAAGGTTCAGAAGGATGTGAATACCTCATTACAACGCAGCTTTGACTAAAGCAACTCCCGTTTGGGCTACTAGAACATCACAAAACAGGTTGATTATTCGGGCTACTAGAACAAAGACAAAACAGGTTGATTATTATGATAAATTTGCATCGGCTCACTTTGTGCGCAGACTGTGAGCTTGTTTGCTACAGGAATGACCTGAATGAAACAGAAGATAGCGAGACGGACATAACCTATAAATTTCGACCATTAATATCTGAATTAACTATCTTAAACCAACCGACAATTAATAATATTTTAATTAACCATCTTATACCAATTGATAATTAGTAAACGTGTATGTCACATTCGAGAATTTTGACAGACATCTTGGCTCTTTAGATAAATGTATTTAAAGAAGGACGAGCAGTTGCGGTTGTTATAGTACATTTGTACATCATTGATTGAACAAGACCTAACACAAACAGTTATAACATCCTAAATAACAACCTAAACATATGAAATTGATGCGGTTTGGTCAGCAAAGTGTCATCTAAGCACAGTTAGGAATTGTCTACAACGTGATTTTAACACGAATAAAATAAGGTGACGCCTTCTCTTGGTACCTCATACTTACAGGTGTTACGTGAAGCAAATATAGTCCCCCATTTTATTTAGAAAGACTTTTATGCCAAACAAAAACATAGAAAATGCCATATACATGTACTATCGTTCCTCACAATATTCGCACAGATATACACGGGCTTCTATATACACTGATGTGTTACACTACATCAAAATAGTTTTAGGTTATGTAATACCGCTCGTGATGTATATGTACAACCGGCTGACAGCCGCCCGAAGACATTCCAGCCTAACATTTCAAACTTCACAGATAGCAACATCGTCACTATAGCAACACCACTTTTACATTTCTGAATATATTTACATCATTCGTAAAATCGAAGTAGACTGTGGAATATTAGTAACCATTTGTTCTGTGCCTGGAGGCAATGTCACTTTTAACTTTCTAAAATCCATCCTACACAAAATTTCCAAACCATAAGAGAACCACATAGACCCCGTTCACATTCAAAAAACGGATCCGGATTGACCGCAGATCCGGATCAGAAATTCATCAATCCGGATCGGCCTGTGCGGTCACACTGCTTTTCACGAATCCGAATTGCGCAATTGCAATGCGGGGATATACTCCATGTGGAGGTAAATATATTATGCTACGGGTAGGACAGAACGCAACGTGAAGAACACTGAAAATCCCACTAAAAACATAATCCCATAAATGTCACGGACACATGGCCCTGTTCTCTGCTGGTGACAATGACACGATGTCCATACATCGGTATCATTCAGACACGTCCAATTCGAGTATTTGATGAAAGATACTTTTTATCCCGTTGCCTTACTTCAAATAACGCAAGAGGGCGTTGTGATACCGTGAGGGAATTTCCATGCGGTATTGAAGTGAACTGCAGCTCGTCTCTATGGTGATTCGAGGAAGCTTAGAACAAATGAAACATTAGAGAATACCGATCTACATTGTTACATCAGACACCTACAGAAGTCACACAACGAAAGGGGCTGGAGTTTATCATTAGTCGCCACAGCATTTACCCTGTACTAGCAGATGGTGGAGTAGACTGGAATACCAACTGGAGACGCTAGAGGGCGCTACGATACTATTACTGCAGTAGTATTTCCTCAGTCCTGGTCCTCCGTGATCTGGAATCTTGGGTACGGCGGCCTGTCGTTGGCAGCCACCGTGGGAGGCGGCGCGTACCTGTTCTCGTCTGTCATCTTGTTGGACAGCTTCCTCTTCCGCCACTGTTTGCGGAAGTCCATGACGTACAGGACGAAGAACAGGGTCATGACGGGAAGGAAGATGCCGATGACCATGATCCCTATGATAACCCCTTTCGTTGTCCAACTGATATCGGGGGCCTGCACCGTGGGCACCACGCGGTCCGAGGCGCTGGTGGGCCCGGCGCTTTTCTGCGCCCTCTCGGCGGCCGTGATGAGCGAGGGCACGATCTTGTTCCAGAAGGTCACTTGCTTTCTCCTGGGGAAACTCTCTTCCCTTGTGTCGTTGATATTGTCTATTTTCAGGAAGTCCTGCGTCTCCTGGCTGAACACGCGCAGGTTCTCGGACTCCCATTGCGGCGTGCTGCGAGGGAAAACGAGAAGAATAAGTTTTTCCAATCACATTTATAGATTTATCACGCGTTCAATGATGAAACGTGTCATGTGCTATCTGACCCTGACCTCTTCCCTCATGACCCAATGGAAAAGCGGTCAGCAGGCTGATTTGACTATTCCATGAATAAACAAAGGCTGATGAAATAAAAAGAAACAGGCAAAACGCACTTTTCAGGAGACACATAAACGTATACTTTACTCGGTAAGACGTATTTTGGCTATTGCTTATTAATAAAAAGATTACAAAGTCTCGACCTAGTCTCGTGTTCTCGCCAGACTAGGTCATGCACCCCGTGATCAAGATGTACAGTAGACATCGAAAATAAATCTGCAGGTACGTGTTTTTACCTTACCAAAACAGTCACTGATTGAGGAATATTCTACTAACTAAAAAGACTAGTTATTGTTTATGCTATCTATGTTGATAATATAAGTTCTTTCTTTGTCCCTCTCTCCTACATTTTCGTATATGTATATACTTCACTCACAGTAAGTGGACATTAACCCACAGATAGCGATGCTATTTAGGTTAACTACTTCTGTGAGGATCTATCCATACAATCAGGGCCAAAATTATGGACCCATTCAACACATACCATTCCTGGGGAAGGATTGAGGGTTTTTGTTTTATAGTTTATAGGTAAAAGGATCTTGATAATTCACATTGTCCCCAAAAGCACTCTTATCTGGTCCCACTTTTGTTGTGCGGGCGAGATATCTATTGCCCATTCACTCAGAATTAGGTCACCTACAATAGGAAACTGGATACGATTTGAAGCCGCTAATCAATACTGAGTGAGGCCTACGTGTGTGGACCAGTGTATTCTCCAATAACGGGGGATGTGAACCAAAACACCCATCATTTCGGTGCAAGTTTTCCAATTTTCCTCCTCGCAGAGACCAATCAGCCGTATGTTGGAATGAATTACGGGCTCGTGTTTTGACAAGGAAATAGATTTTGTAATTAGAAAGTCAATGATGTGATGTTTGTGAAGTCATCCCTCTTCCCTTCTGCCGCTCTCCCGATCAATCGAAATTCACTGGCTGTCGTGGAAAATACCATTAAAAAGTCGTAACTCTTGTAATTGTTCGACCCATCTTCCGTTGTGACTGGCCGAATGCGTTACTGCATTGTTACACGCAGCTATCCGCTTCAAACCGACGGTAATGGACGTTCGGCTTGATAACGTCCACACAAAGTTTATCCAGTATAAAAATGCCATTAAAAAGTCGTAACTCCTATGATTGTTCGACCCATCTTCCGTTGTGACTGGCCGAATGCGTTACTGCATTGTTACACGCAGCTATCTGCTTCAAACCGAAGGTAATGGACGTTCAGCTTGATAACATCCACACAAAGCCAGGCGTTTAAAAAGTTTATCCAGTAAAAGGCACCATCAAAATTAAATCATCCTTTTTATCCATCTGAAGACATAACAAATTGTTTCCGACGAAGGCTACATGAAATGGGCGCTACTTATTGAATGACCTAGTTATGAGTGGATGTCGAGAAAATGCATGATGTATTATTTTGCTGTTGGGGTCGATTTGCAGAAAGCCGTGCTAGTACTCATCGGCGTTGTGACATGACCAGATATGCCCGGCGAATAAAAAGGCTCTTACCACTTCACAGATCCACTCTGGGGACGTTTTAAAGTGATGATGATGATGTATTACATTCACCTTTTCATAAACCCGAACATACCAAATGCCTGATAGTACAGAGGTTTTGAGTACTGAAGTATTTTAACCATGCCGTCCTATCGCAGAAGGACGCACTCAATCTGACCTGCTGTAGCTGAAAGCGTTTTAAAGTGATGATTACTTTCACGTTTTCCCAGATCTGAACAGTCCAATGCCTGAACACATGATAGAAGTTTTGAGCACTGAAGTGGGCTTGGAAGCCAGAATTTCCAAAGTCGATAATCTAGTCACTTGTCTACATACTAAGTTGAAACAACACTATCCCAATCTATATCGACACTCATGTAGCAAAAATGCCCAAAATTGTGACAAAAATGGTTACTGGAAGGATACTGGGCTGTTTTTTTTTACCCATGCAAAAACTCCATACTCCCACCCCCAATACTGACACTGCCCTGCCGAAGCTGAAAACGTTTTAAAAAAATGATTACTATCACACATTCCCAGAAAAAACAGTGCACATCGAGCAGCCCAATCCCTGAACACATTATAGACGTTTTGAGTACTGATGAAGAATTTAGCAGGTTATTTTTTAACCCATGCAAAACCTCGAGCTCCCACCCGATACTCACCCTGCCCTTCCGAAGCTGCCCACCAGGTCCATGAGTGCAGCGCTAAGCTGCGCCGCGGCCCCGCGTGCCGGCTGCTCGGGGAAGATAAGCGACACGTCTGTGGGGGAGGAGAGACACAAACGGTAATGCGTGGGAAGAAGGGGGATCATTACACAGGTCTGAGGAGCTCAGACGTTTGTGGGTTTGTCGTAAGGGACGTAAGTGATGTGTGCATCAAGGCAAACACCAAAGTGAAGTTTCTCCCATTATGGATATCACAGGTCTTTGATACTTTGCAGCAAGTGTACACTGCCCGTATACATGATTTTGGTTGGCGGTGGGGGAGGGGGGGGGAGGTTTCTTCCTACTGTCCTTATAATAGGAGGAGAGACACAAACGGTAATGCGTGCACGTGGGCAGGCGGGGGATCATTACACAGGCCTGAGGAGCGCAGACGTTTGTGTGCTCGCCGTAAGTAATGTGTGCATCAAGGCAAACACCAAAGTGAAGTTTCTCCCATAATTATGAATACCACCAGGCCTTTGATGTTTTGCAGCAAGTGTACACTGCCCGTAGACATGATTTTGGTTGGCGGTGGGGGAGGGGGGGGTGAGAAGGTTTCTTCCTACTGTCCTCAGGAGGAGGCAAGACACAAACGGTAATGCGTGGGCAGGTGGGGGATCATTACACAGGTCTGAGGAGCGCAGACGTTTGCGGGTTCGCCGTGAGGGACGTAAGTAATGTGTGCATCAAGGCAAACACCAAAGTGAAGTTTCCCCCATTATGAATATCACCAGGCCTCTGATATTTTACAGCAAGCTGTACCTCGACTTAACACAGGAGACGCGTATACGTACGAGGACAACTAAGCATAAAGTTTTCTTCGATTCCCAGTAAATAATCGATTAACAGAAACGGGAATCGTGAGAACTAGCCTTCTGAACATTATTTAGTGATGTGTGCATCAAGGCAAACACCAAAGTGAAGTTTCCCACATTATGAATATCTGCAGGTCTTTGATGTTTTGCAGCAAGTGTACACTGCCCATAGACATGATTTTGGGGTTTGCCGTTTGGAGGGATCATTACACACAGGCCCGAGCAGCTCGGACGTTTGTGGGCTCGCCGTGAGGGACGTAAGTGATGTGTGCATCAAGGCAAACACTAAAGTGAAGTTTCCCCCATTATGAATATCACACGGCCTCTGCCCGTAGACGTGGTTTTGGTTGGGTGGAGGGGAGTCTTTCTACTGTCCTAGGGACCAGCAAGTAAAGTGATGTGTGCAGGGAGGATATCAAGACAAACACTAAAGTGAAGTTTCCCCCATTATGAATATCACAAGGCCTTTGATGATTTGTAGCAAGTGTACCTCGACCATTTGCACCAAAAAGCAGTTACAAAAGCAACTGGATATGATTTTGAAAAATCATATCCAGTTGCTTGAGTAACTGCTTTATGGCGTATTGCATTACCTGGATGTCTAACCTTCATCGACGTACCTCGACCATTTGGTTTGGAAAGCCTATAATTAACACAGGAAAACTTTACTTCGTGCGTGGACAACTAAGCACAAAGTTGGCTTGGATTCCCGCTAAATAATCGATTCACAGAATTGGGAATTGCTTGAAAAAAACAGGCCGCCTTATAAAGTATCCAGCCTTCTGAACATTTAGAATAATCTACCTAAGCTGCAGATTTTTCTTTTGCAATCAAGCCCGACTTCTGGGAACATAAATCGCTGGTTTAATCAATGGAAAGACGCCCCGGTTTGTACCAGACGGCGATAGATTTGTCTCGTTCGTTGTCACGTCGTTTAACGGTCTGGTACGGACGGAACCGCGGTCATACGACGTGATATCCTTGTACTTTCACAGGTCACAACATTTAACGTCCGTTTCCAAAATCATATCCAGTTGCTTGAGTAACTGCTTTTTGGCGTATCGTATTACCTGGATATCTAACCTTCGTGTCATAGCATTTACTTGGTGTCTATTGGTTGGGCCATTTCTGTATGTATTAACCCTGATATTGGCCAAAAAAAACCCCAGTTACTCAAGCAACTGTATATGATTTTGGAAACGCCCGACGTTTCAGGTAACGTCCACTACCCATAGCCTTTACTTGGTCTTGTGTACATTGGTGGGGATATTTCTGTATGTAGTAACCCTGATATTGGCCAAAAAACAGTCACTCAAGCAACTGGATATGATTTTGGAAACGGTCAGACGTTTCAGGTAACGTCCACTACCCATAGCCTTTACTTGGTCTTGTGTACATTGGTGGGGATATTTCTGCATGTATTAACCCTGATATTGGGCAAAAAAAAAACAGTTACTAAAGCAACTGGATATGATTTTGGAAACGGTCAGACGTTTCAGGTAGCTACCTTTCTTGCAGCGGATGCTACTTTATGAGCAACTGTTTTTTTGGCGCATCTTATTACCTGGATGTCTAATGATATTGTATCATTACTTCCATCGATCTGTTCCAACCCGCATGCCGGCCACAAAATGCGCCCTGACAGGTTCATATCGTGATGTTTGATTTTCATTTATGTGTTACTAATGGGTTAAGGACGTAACCCTCAACGGTCCTTGACCTTTTGACCCCGCCATCGTCAAAACGCGCTAATAAACGTTATTTCCGATATTGAGTTATGTGCATCTATTAAAACCCATTGTTCGCGAGATAAAGGCAGCGATCCGTGAAGAGCAATCCGAGAACACCTGTGTGTAATCTCCCCAGCGCGGCGGCGTTACCGCTTCCTGCGCGCTTCATTTTGCCGTGATAAGGCCACACCGACTTAATTTTATGGATGACATCCACGCGCGCATTGATTTTTCGCCTGATCTAAAAAAACTAGAGAAGTAACATTTGCAAAGCAAATGCATAATGTTTACCTACGGACATGTTCTGCTCTGTTAATTCTTACTGAAACACATTCACATACATGTACTACTAGTATATGGTGACAGGAGTAGGGCAGACCATGAAATCGCAACATTATGTAACCCAACACCACTCACCATGGTGACAGACGTCAACAAATCATGTCATTGGCCAGGTCAGAGGTTAGTGTTTGGAACAGAAAAGGAGGAGGAAGAAACTGAGTAAAAACAATATTTTTTCCTTCGGTAAACATAATGATCACGTCTTCCGAGGCTCTGGCCAGGCTTTAGGCCTGGGTAGTCCATGGTGGTTAGTGACAACGAAGCCGGTGGTAACTCTGGAGCACCCAGGCTACCGACGCTCCACGACTCAAGAAATCAGTAACGTTACATACGTACAGTGTCGATTCATAAATTTCGCAAACATCCAGTATGTGCCGGCCTGTCGTATACGTCGCTATGTAATGCGCCAAATTTACAATACCGGCTTTGTATCCCTGTGGTTTAGTAGCATTTTTATTTTTGGCCGGATTTTTATTTTTTCGCCCGCGCGCACTAGTTTGGGGTTCTTCAGAGGATGTCATCCATAAGATTAAGTCAATGTGGCCTAACCGCCTGAGTTATGGAGACGTTCGGCTCGATATCGCAATCAACATTCTCACAGTTAGGAAACCGTCTGATAAAACAGACGATGTGTGAAAGTAAACGTGTCAGGTCTTGAATGATTGTATTCATTATCCGGGAGCGACGCTAGGTACTGCATAACGGAGGTATTTACCAGTATTAAGAGCGCATTGTTAGGCTCGGTAAGTAGGGAATATTCTTCATGATTTGTTGTTGCTTACGGTTGAATCACTGATGTTCTTCCTAATTTATGATTAGCCTGTGTTTCTGTTTGCTATGTTGATACGTTATTTATCTGGTATCCTTATAGTAGAAGTTCGAAAAAAATGATTAGCAGTTTAATTTAAAAAAAATGGTATTGATATCTTGTGACATGTCATCACATCGTTTTGTGTTTTTTTGTCAAGCTGTACCTTTTGAGTAATAATTGACCAAGCAGAATCTTGCTAGACAAAAGTGTCAGTTCAATTAATGAATTTGGTAACTAATGCTAAGATCACGATTCCCAATCCGGAGTGAAAAGTATGATATAAAAGGCAATAAAACTTAAAAAGATTTACTAGCATTGATGTGACATTACCATAAGCGTACATACCGTCCAACGCGCCAGGCAAAATCCCCCCACCAGAGCCGCTGACAAACTGGTACACATACGTGGCCAGTCCTGCCAGTGTTGTACCTGCCGCAGACTGTATGGCCGGGGCCACGTACAGGGCGTCACTGACGGCCTGGGTCAACAGCATAGGACGGAATCAATGTACATGTATCAGCGGTCATGGTGAAGACGATATGTCTTAATGTAGTAATATGGGTCCCATATAGAGTGAGCAGAAGGGGTGATGCATTTTAATCAAAACACTAAAATGATATTATATTGGTCATAAAACGTCAATGAATACGCAGGGCATGCAGGGGCATATGGGGACGCCCGTGTCATCTCAGTCACCTGTCATCTTGCAGCCATCACTCCATGTTTTACATCCTCTAGGCCACATGTGGTAACATGTGCATGTAGGCCATCTGGGCAGGAGTATGCATTAAAGATGCAGGACTGGAACTGGAAACTCCTTGAACTAAGTTCATATGCTGTTACCACTTTGATTGGGTCTATTTGTCTGTACATGTACTTGTAACATTATTGGTATATTATGTGTTGTAGTTGTCATGCTCATGACTGTATTTTTCAAATGTGTTAGCCCAGGGATATCTTAAAAACAGATCCACAGGACTGAGATATAACCTGGTAAAATAAATAAACTTGAAAGTTGAAGATAACATTTAACAATAACGCTGAAGCGCACCTGTATGTAGCTGTTCCTGGTTGCGAAGCGGTCGCCCGGCCGGAGCCAGCTGGTGTACTCATACGTCACCAGATCTGCCACCTCGGCCGGCGCGTCAGGGTAGATCTGGCTGATGAGGTTCTCTATCAGCATCCGGAACTCTGCCGCAGACATGCCGCCGTCAAGGGCCAGCTCTACCGCAGCTGGGGACAGATAATGGCTGGGTGCATTAAACACATATGAGAGAAGCTTTGTCGACGCAGTAAAAAGTACCACGACTTTCGTAAGGCCAACTACAAACTAAAAAAAACAGACATGCCGCCGTCAAGGGCCAGCTCTACTGCAGCATGGGGAGAATGAGAATGATTGAAAGGTTTTAGAATTAAGGGTTTATTCATCAAAACACATAGCAGAAAAAAGTGCGGCGACTTTCGTAAGGCCAATTGCAAATTAAAAAGTAGTCATCCTCAACTAAAATGAAGCTTGGTGAGTTGCGCACGTATGACATCCAGGACAGGGATTTATAATCACTTGCGTGGAGGTTGTCAATGATATTCTGAAGCGCTAGGTGTCTACTGAAGGTTCCCGAAGCTCATTCCCTGCCTTCCGATATAAAACAAATGGTGGTGAGGTATACGTACATTAAAGAAGAAGTCGAATTCGCTTAGTTGTAGTTACTTGACAATGTGTAACGTTCGCTGTAAAAATAAATCTGTGAGAAACAAAAATAAATCTTAAAATCCGTATGACATCCAGGACAGGGATTTTAAATCACCTGCGTGGATGTCGTCAATCTAGGACATTAGGTGTTTAATGAAGGTTCTCTAAACCCATTTCCTGCGTTCCGATATCAAACACGTCAGGCACAAGCCTTACAAATTCGCTGGGAGACCATCACACTTCGTTATTAGGTACGTCTGGATTTCCTAGGATAGATTCTGGCAACAGTTCTACCGTGTATGTAAATCCTCACAGTTTACATAGCGACAAAATCCCGAAGTTGTTGCCACCATTTGTGGACGTAAAATTTTCCAACCCATTTCCTTTTTCTATACCCACAGACCACACACTAATCTGCCCTTAAGACTAGTCCTTGCAGTTGAACGTGTTGCCACATAAATTGCGGGTCTTCGCCGATAACGTGGATTAGAGTCCCGAAGTAGTCATTAACACTGTCTGATCGTAAAGAGTCCAGGAAATCGTCCTCAAATGAGGCGAGGAGTGATGAATTTTCAGTAGCTGATAGCGCACTGCGGCTAGCCACTGCCCGTTTTACAGCCAAGCACGCAAGGACGGACAGTTACTTTTATCTTTTATCGACAAGTGTGCTGGGTTCTTTAACGAGGCTTCCCCGTAAAAACTAGACAAGCAGTTTAACGTCTTCTGAGAAGGATGTAAAGAAACGTGAAAATTTTTGTCACCTAATCAATATAAAGCAGAACATTGTGATGGTCTGTATATATTCTCTAATGGGGACATTTAGTGCCACTAAAAATTTGGCTACACTCCAACTAACCCCGACTTGCAACCCCACAGTAATTCCTAGTCGAGTGATGACAGTATCGGTTTACCCTTGCTGGCCCATTCCGTCCTACAGTAACTCCATGATCATCAATATTGTTTGTAAATTCTCCATATATATGCAAGGCATTAGATAGTAATAATGATAAAAGTAGAAAAACATGCAGACTTACCTTTACTGGTCCACTTTGTCCCACAGTAACTCCATGCCGAGCAAAGGCAGTACTAGTAGCTATTGTTTTTTCTTTCACATACAAGGACATTAGATGGTGATGATAAAAACAGTAGAAAACCCGCAGCCGTACCTTTACTGGCCCACTCCGTCCCTGTGAAGCCCAGCATGCAAGCCTCTCCGTTCACCTGCATCCTGCGGAGCTGCTGATCCATGGGTACAGGCAGGACCTTCCTGTCCACCACGGGCGTCCACTTCGGCAGGTCAGCCACGTCCAGGTGGACAACCGTCTGCAAAACGTTAAACATTTTTTTATTTATTAAAGCACATAAAAAAATACAAGACTGCGATGACGACGCACTCAAGTTTATTACACTTATATAAGCGCCGCCATTGCAAATAAACAAAGATATAATACTACATAAACATAACACAGAAATGTACACAAACAAACAATACAAAACGTCAAACATTGAGAGAAAGTTAGTATTGGAATTAATCTTTGAGCCCACTGCAGTATTGTAGAAAAACGTCAGGTGAATCGTTTTCGAACTTGACCTTTGTTTTCACAACCTCTACTTATCTATTGTTGGCAAGAGTCCAGGTGTCCACCTGTGTCCACCACGTCAAACATGTGAATGAACGTTAATCTTAGTCCGCTTCAGTACCGTTGGAAAACGCCAGGTGAATCGTTTTCGAACTTGACCTTTGTTTTCACAACCGCTACGTACTTATCTATTGTGGGCAAGAGCTTTACGTCCAGGTGGACAAAAGCCTGCCAAACGTCAAGCATGTGAATTAACGTTAATCTGTGAATTCATCTGTGAGTCCGCTGCAGTACCATAGAAAAACGCCAGGTGAACCGTTTTCGAACTTGACCTTTGTTTCTACAACCGCTGCTACAATCTAGTACTGTTATATTGTTGGTAAGAGCTTTACGTCCATGTGGACAAACGTCTGCAAAAAAACGCCAAACATTTGAATGAACGTTAATCTGTGAATAAATCTATGAGCCTGCTGCAGTACCATGGGGAAACGCCAGGTGAACCATTTTCGAACTTGACCTTTGTTGTCACAACCAATACTTTCCTACAAAATATCAGGAAGACCCTCTGATCGAAATATTGTTGGTGAGCGTTTCTTTTGTAAAGAATTCTGGTAAAAAACTTAATAGTATTGAACAATATAATGATAACATATTGGGCTACCATAGGTATTTTGGACTGTTACTGAGTTTTCTTCAATCTTCTTTACTGCTTATGGTTGATGTTTTCTGTACAATTTTTTGTCGATGTTTCAAATTTGTTACAAACTTTGATTTCCCGGCTTTACACATCAAGGTCAATATATCATCTAGTTCTTCAGACGACCTCCCAGCTGTTGACACTGAATTACACACTACCAGGTCCTAACGCCAGACGAACAGTCGGGCAGTAATCCCAAGGAGGGCTAAGGGAGGTCGTTGGCATCAGAATCAATAAATTTCGGATCGAACGATGAAGTATCCAATCCCCGTGTAATTACAATTCCGTGTCCCTAGTGAGAACTGGATCAGGGTGCCACACGCGCATTACGATAAAAGACAACCAGAATCGAATTTGTTCACTGCACGAAAACTTAGATTTACCAATGGCAGTAAATACCAGTAAAGTTTGGTAATGTTTACTTTGTTTTTTTAATAATCACTACTGGACAATGGTGGTAAATAAAAGTCAAGTACGGTATTTCCGGACTTAACAAGGGTTGTAAATGAATTTACTGGACTTGAATTTTATTTACTACCATTGTAAAGCCAGATTCTACATACAAAGTCAACATTACATGAGTTTACTACCTTTGGTAAATCCAACTTTCCTTGCAGTGTATAAAAGACAGGCATAATCGAATTTATGCCATATAACTAACAATGGATTTATGGACTTCGCAACTTTTCTGAAATGGTGCGTTAAGGACGCTATCATTAGCAATATTATATTCTTCCAATTAAACTACTTGAAACAAAGTTAAAACAGATGCCAAGAAAATAGATTGTCATCAGAGCTTGTGAGGTGACTTCATTTTAAGGGTTTATGAAATATCAGTACAGGACTCACTTAATGGCATGTACTTCACATTTTCAAACTTCTATTCATCATTATACAAGCGTTTTGGTATCGTTTTCTGTTGCAAAATCGATCGATTTTAAGCTAGGGAGAGTACCGAGAACAGTCATCAGCATCTGCAGAAATAAGTGATTTTTTTCACACTCTCAATGCCAATAACTCAGTACTTCCCAACATCGCAGGTCTCTGTAACTTTCAGTGGTTATTTACCTTGGTAAGTGCTATTTACGACAGTTAAATGAATTGACAACAATATTTATTTCTTAAGATATGAGCCTTCAAAAACCATCTCCTCACACCGTAGCTCCCGGCGGCAGCAGTCTAAAGAGGGCCGCGAGATTGCAGAAAAACGGCCTAACCTTCGCGTTTGGTGCCGGAGATAAGGGTGATTCACCACCACTGCAGGGCCTTAAATGAGCCTGCCGCACCTGGGCACTAGATAACAGTCTCTAAATGTGCAAACTTGAGAAGCAGCCCCTAGGGGTGGTAGGTGATTTTCCAAGAAAATACCATTTGTATACATACTAAATTGTCTTATCTTTAGGTACAGGACATGCAGCATCTACCGGCAGCATCTACAATTGTAAACCTGTCAAATTGAATGTACTTGACAGTGCTGTTTGAGTAGATTTGCTGTTCGTTTTGAACCTTGAAATATGCAGCTCCAGAATTGATAAAAAGGGACATGCTAACTTATCTCGCATCCTGGGGTTAAATCTTACAGCTATGCACACAAGCCCTAACACACCCTCCAGTTCCTTGAGTAACTATTTCTTATGTAAGTGTCAAGAAGGAGGACATTGTACAAGCATTGGAGGCTTCTTTCCTCTTCCTGTACACTGTTTTTCCTTTGTTTTGCATATTTGTTGATTAATGTTTGTCCTTTTATCGTACCAAAGACTTAAAAATGGTACACACTTCTTTCTCTGCTTAGCACTCAGCACATGTGTGAAAGTGTGTGGGAAGGTCAAACACACAGCACTACCAGCGGACAAGCCCCCTGCTGTAGTGCCCTGCACAACTGTGTGTCGTCCAAGGGCTACGGAAATGGAGATGGGCACCACCACTATGCTCTGCATAGAGTGGAACGGGACCTTTTTTAATATTGTGGAAATAAATAAATAGAATAATAAAACAAACCCCGTACCTCTTGTGCGACCAGAGCCTCGTATCGGATCTTGTTGAGGCACTCCAGCATCTGTAAGGTGGTGGTGAAGCCGTCACAGTTGAAGTGTCGGGCCAGCGCGCGGGTCTGCCGGACAACCTGGTGGGCAGGGCGGACAGACACGGCCTGCAGGGGTGACCCGCTCGACAGGATCGTCCTCTTGAACAGATCTGAGATGGTAGGGCGTGAAAAAAAAATTAACGACTCTTTGTGGCAGCTGCAGATTAGCCTAAGAGGCTCGGTGGGCGTCACTCCACCGTACAGGGAGGGAAGTCGTGTAAAGTGCCTTGAACAGATCTGAGATGGTAGGACGTGAAAAAAAAATCAACGGCTCTTGGTGGCAAATGGGTTGATGTTGACACATTGGCGCACCAAATCCGTAGTGTATTTTTGGCGCACAGTTAGATAGATTAGCCTAATATAACAGGATCGGTGGGCATCACTCCACCGCCAGTACAGGTGGGGAAGTCGTCAAGTGCCTTTCCCAATGGCACAACGTCGGGCCACGGTGAGTATCGAACACGGGACCTAGCTATTGGTTCCGAGTCCAACGCTCTAACGGTAGGTTGTGACCACAGGTTGGTTAGCTGCATTGCCAGTTCGCTACAGGTCGTTTCATGTCGATCCGCTACGTTGCAGAAATCAATTTGCTACATGGCAACACACTCGGTCACCTAATATCGACGTGGGGTCGTGTGGTGCAACGGCAGAGTGTTCGGCTCGGAACCAAGAGGTCCTGCCATGCCAGCGATCTTGTGCCCTTGGGAAATGCACTTTACACGAATTTCCTCACTTAAATCAGGGGAACATGAGGAAATGTCTGTTGTTCGTTCATGCGTTTGTCTGCGTTTTTTCATATTCCAACAATTCATGACTAGACAGGGTGACGGCACACTCAAGTTATATCAACTTATTTTTGCCGCCATCAACGCAGAAGACAAATAAAGGACAGGGCAAGGACATGAGTTAAGTATGGAAAGCCGTGTTAAGTGCCTTTACCAAGGGCACAAGATCGGTGGCATGTCAGGACTCGAACCCGGGACCTCTTGGTTCCAAGTCGAGCACTCTGCCAATGAGGTCAAAGACCCCACGAAGGTAGGTCGTGAACACAGGTTCGTTCGCTGCATTGCCAGTTCGCTACAGGTCGTTTCGCTACGTTGCAGAAGTCGATTCGCTACATGGCGAAACAGCCCGTGACCTAATATAGATTTACAATACGATTGTCTCGAACTTTGGAACCAGAAACACTTCCTATGAATAAATGGAGGGTTTCAAATGTTGCCTAGCTGAGATACGCTAGTACAGCGAACGTGAAATGTTTACTAATAACTAGCTCATCCAAATCTGCAACAGTAACGTTGTATCTCATCGCACCAGGCTACTCCACTCAATTTTCACAGTTGTGATCATCACCTGGGCAATGTTATCGAGGGCTGGACGCTTCCATTAAAAAGTCGTCAAACTCCCAGGAAAGTATAGGAAAGGGACGAGTGTTGGACGGAATTTATGGCCTAGGCAGGGTTATTGAGGGGAGGGCGTTTGATCTGCGGGAAGAACTGAACACGCAGCGAGTCGTTACTGTTTACGGTCGAGTTTATTTCCACGATAAAGCAAATTGACTTAAGGGAAATCTCATCAGCGAAAACGCCGACGTGTCTGTTTTTACGGTGCAGTTAGACCCCGTTGTTATTGTTTCTCGTAAAATTTCACCGCCCCACTCCCACTCACGTAAGCCAGGTAAATACTGCTATGGCTAATGATGGGACAGTGATGGTGCCTGTCTTTTATCCACACGAATCGACTTCCTCTTCAGTTTGCATAAAATCCACCATTATATCGGATGCCAGAGCAGTGCTGCCAAGTTTCATCATGCTGAAAGTTTCCATCCAATGGAATCTGTTATTACGTTTACCGAAGGAAAACATATTGTTTTTGCTATATTTCCTCTTCTTTTTCTTATCCAAAACAATAAGGTAAGTGACCTGAACCAGACGTCTGTCACCATGGTAACTAGTGTTGGGTTACATCATGTTGCAATTTTATAGCAGGAGGGATTCAGACTCCATATATATGAATGTGTTTGAGTGAGAATTAACAGGGCAAACCATATGCGAAGGTAGACATTATGCATTTGCTAGTTACATGATGCATGCATTATAAATCTAACTTCTAATAGAGGTATATAGACAGCCAGGGTTTTAATTTAAAGCACGGCAAAACCACTATGTAAAGTATCTTATAGCCGTACCAATCTTATTGTTGTCTTTATGATTGTTCTGACGGACTGTTTAAAAATAGGGACCCAGGTTGCCAATTAAGTAGCATCGTTGCTATGCTCTGGCAAGTCACACACTGTACTCGTCAACATTGTATCTGACATTATTGTGGCTGACAGGATACAGGCGCCGAACCGCCCCAATTTCCCGGACCCCTGGATTACGTGCAATCGGCCGGGACAGGTGCTACATTACCGCACTCCGCCGCAGCGAACCCTACCCTGCCTCGGGCTACCTGGTACGGATACAGCTGATTAAAATTGTCGTCGGTGTCAAACGCATACAGTTGATTTAGCTTATTCTTAGTTTAAGCTGGCGTGCGTCTCAGCTTACATCTTTCTCGGCAAGGCCCACGGGCACTTAGTCTGCGTGAGTCCACTGGAAACCAGATGTAGCTCTGAACTTCGTGTAATTCTTATTTCGTTGGCAACGAGAGTAGCCTGGGTGCAATCCTATTTGTATTCCGGGGCTCCCATACTCGCTTTCTTAAGGAGCGAGTATGGGAGCCCCGGCATACAAATAGGATGGTGCCCAGGCTACAACGAGGGAGGCTTTGGCACGAAATACTTGGTATTCCTTTCAACTACGCACTATTCAGAAGGTCAGAATGTTTTTTGACTACGTGAGACGAGCTTGGTAAATTAGCATAAGGTGGTGTAGTGCCATGCATTCTGAGAGTAGCAATCTGCATCTTCAGTAGCCATGAATGCAGGACGAAGGTAGACCTCACGACCGGAGAACATTATACTTTGTTGCATGCCGCTACACTACTAGACTTATTCATGACTCTACACGCCTTAGAGATGCGTGCTCACTGGGGTTCGTCCAAGACAATATTAGCTGACCCCGGCAATAGCTGGGGTTGGCAGCGTGATGCGAGAGGCGTTGGAGTTCCTAATGGTTTTGGTTGCTGGAGCGTGAGAACCTCTGAGTGCTGCGGGAATTGGCCGATGGAGTCGGCGCTGAAATACTAAAATGCCGTAGAGGGTGTGGGGTATGATAGAGGCGCGTTTTCCCTCCACCCGTGAAACACCTGGTTATGAAAGGTGCCGTGCTTGGTTAGGTTCTCATCAGCGAGCTTATGCTCATCACGAGAAGCGTACACGTGATGGCCTGGGTGTCTACCGTAGTTTTTCTTGCTCATGTTCACTCCCAGGTAATCTCCAACCATATCTTTTGGTGGGGGTAAGACAGTATCAAATTGGCCAGTCTGTAACCATTTCCCCACCCAAGTAGTGGAAGCGACAAAAAAAGGGCCATCATATATAAAAAGCAAACGATCTTCCACCATCAACCTCTGCTTGGAGAGTACTCCCAGGCGCACTATAATTGCAGAGTAGACAGGAAATTCGGGGGAACTTTTCTGGATCCAAAAGCCGGAACGTGTGCCTGATAAACAAAAGAAGGGCTGACATTCTGATGTTGATCCTCTATTGTCCCAAAAATGTCCGAAGTGTCCTTTTAGTTGTCCCAGCCTAAATCTTAGTGGTCAGTGGCCATTGGGCCACCTTTGATTTCTAGCCCTGGTGATGGCTCGTCAGCCTGGCCTCTATGTAAAGCCTGACAAGATTGCGTCTTGGCCTTGAGGCTAGATTAACTTGTGTAAAGATTTAATGTAGTTGCCGGATTGCGCTTGAGGGGAATTGCAGCATCCTCACTGTCATATATTACAAATACACGCACACGTTGCTGTCATGTCCCCACTAATACACGCTATCTATTTATTCAAGTACAACTTCAGGGGCGATTTCCAAAACTGACGACCTCATACAGATTGGGCTTAGTGATGATCCCGATGTGCTTTTATGTGAATCCCTCACCGTGTTCCATCGCTTTGATGGTGACAGTACGGGTGTTGCAGTCGTCAATTTTATGTGAAGTGCTTCCCTAAGGTCAGGCAGAGAGCAATTCAGCATCGGGGGGCAAATATTTCCGTGAATTTAGATATTGGACATTCCAAATCGTATCAGGTATTTCCTGGACTTCAAAGGAATCTGTCATTTGGAATGATGTAGGTCAAGATTTCATCATTGATTTCCCATGTTAACCACTTTTCCATGATTTGATTTTCATCTGGGAGTGTCGCTGTTCCCTTTATGCTGCCCATCAGGTGCTATGCACTGTAAAGAAATATTGCAGAATCAACCTCGTCACAACTGGTTTTCTATAACGTGACCTTAGAAAACCTTTCTGAAGATAACCCGACTGTAAGACGGAGACGCACATCCACTTACCAAAAAGGAGATTTATGTTTAATAAAAATATTTGACAGCTAAGGAAAAACCAGGAATACACTTGCAGTGGTTTATCAACCACATTTTAGGCATGAGAACAGAAGCAATTTTGTTAATTCTTGTGCTAGCAGTGTATATGGTAATAGGTACAGAAGTCTGGGTCATTTGAGGTGAATTGGATATTCATATATTACTTAGATCTTCAGGCCAGATTATCCATTATCTATAATGATTATCTGTGACGCATTAAGGAGCCCCGAAGCGTGATAATTTGAGGCTAGAAGGCTGTTTGACAGGATTGGTTTAAAACCTATGGTTCCCTCAAGTACAATACCTAAAGCTAATTCATAAGAATTGATTTTTTCCGTGCTGATTGTATGTCTGGTGTCAGTCTGTTCCATTAGACCCAGGGTAGCCTATGGATAATATGAAGGTCTTTGGGTTGTTTTCCTAATGATATTTTGTAACTCTCAACACGGGCTAAATTCGCCTTGCAGTGTTGCTGTTTTTTTAAAGTCGTTTCCATACGGTGTACATCTACAGAAGTCAACATGCCGGGCCTTGTTTCAGTAATCATGAATAAGGATGCAGTCAAATGCAGCGTACTTCAGTTGCCACCCACGGCTGACTTAAGCAATCAAGTAAATGACATGCTTGGTCAGACACAATCTGGCAGCGCGCGTAACTTCTGATGTTTGTGCAGGCAATATTATCCAGTCGGAAGTTAAGAGAGGAGCTGCACGAGCGAAGCAGAAAATTTCCTTCCCACGCCTCAAAGTTTTATTGGCTGGGAGCTGCCACGACCTTGAGACGACCTTCATCCGGGGGAGATCATGTTACCGGAGGGGTGCTCGTGGTGTCGGGAGGGGTCACGCGTCAAAAGCGCACGACTAGACGGTAGGTCACGGGGAAACAAACGTGGGGTCGCGGCATCAGGCTTGCAAAAAGGTCCATATTTTCGTGCATGCAGGCAGCCATTCGCGCCAACCGTATCAAATGGTTGGATGGACGTCTACACAGTTAAACTCGAGCGCAAATATTTGGCATCTGCAGCATTGCGTTCGGAAGAAATGCATTCGTGGAATTAGGTACCAGGCACCACAGTGCCAAGTTTCAGTAGACCGTTACTGCGAAAGTTTTTGGGTGGTCGATTGTTGGCAATCTGGACAAGAATCGATCAAGATATTTCGATTGATGATCTAATTATTCACACTTAGATATATTTTAGATATACTTTAGTCACATACACAGTGCAAATGTGTCTATTGTTCAGACTATACTACGATACACGGTGAAAGACGAACTGTTCTACGTACCTTTTGCGAGGGGTGACACCATCAGTACCGACACACAGCTCGCTCCTGATTGGTGGCCGAACACCGTGACCTCTGACCTGAACCCGCCAAAGTTGGCGATGTTCTGTCGCACCCACTTCAGAGCCTCGATTTGGTCCAAGATCCCATAATTCCCCTGAAGGTCATTGTCACCCATACTGAGAAACCCTGCAGACAAGAGAATGACAAATACATGAAGGTTAAAGTATCTCCCCTCTCATTTAACTGGCTGTATTATCTACGTAGTATGAGGCCCAGTTTATAGTGAGAACTACTTGGCTTCATGGTACTTGGGCACATCGGTTATAGATATCTACCAGTGACCGAAAAGTTTTGGAATTCCAATACCCGGTTGGTAATCGAATCATTTCAAAAGCAAATAATTTTAGATAGCGATCAATCAACAATTCAAGTGGAATGGTGTAAGGGCATTGCACCCCACGATAGATAGAGTCTACCAGCAATGGAGCCTTCAGCATTGGCCAGACGTGCCCGCGTAGTCACAGCACAATCACCCCGGAAATATACCTCCCAGACAACGTGGTAGTTTTCTTGGGGAAGCGATTAGAAGTGACCCCTGCTGCCACCCCAGTCCGTTATTATAGCAAAGATGTCAACGCAACATGGCAAATGCATTCATATCCCTGAAAATATCATGCATTTAGGCGTAATGGTTCCATACATCACGAAAGTGTCCGCATTAGATGTGCCATATTTCTGTCCCGCCAGCCCGGCTTGCGGGTCAAGGCGGGGGAAATGCGCGCTATTGTCCTGGATGTGCGCGCATTTCCGTAACGCCTTCTGGACGAGGACAGGCCGTATATCAGGGGAAAGGGCTGACACGGATCGGAACGGAGAGGACTTGGATCCGTACAAGGAGAGGTTTGCTCCCACGCACCGCTGCTACAGTCGAACGGGATTTTTGTGATTGTTGTGGGGATCGAAGGACTGTTCAAACGTCAAATACGACACTAACCAACACAAAAAATTAGCTGTCTTTTTATTTAGTTGTAGTCACTTGACAATGTATATACATGTATGTCGAAAGTCCTAGAGGCACTCCTGCTTAATCGTCTGAAGCCTTTTCTTCTGACGTCTGATTCTCAATTAGGCTTTAAACCTAAACATGGGACTGACATGTGTGTTTTTATGTTAAAGCAAATTATCGAGTACTACAGGGGCTTAGGGTCCCCAGTCTTTGTGTGCTTTATGGATGCCTCTAAGGCCTTTGATCGCGTAAACCACTGGACACTGTTTAGAAAGTTGATCGACAGAAATGTTCCGCTATATCTAGTTCGATTCTTGGTTTCCTGGTATACGAATCAAAGAATGTTTGTGAGATGGGGTACAGTCCTTTCACCGAGCTTCTCCGTTACTAACGGAGTACGACAGGGTAGTTTACTGTCCCCATATCTTTTTAATGTATACATAGATGATTTGAGTGTAAGCTTAAACAATGCCAAGGTGGGCTGTTATGTAGGTGGGTCCATCACCAACCACCTGTTTTATGCCGACGACTTATGTCTGATTTGCCCTAGCATTAAATCTCTACAGAGATTGGTTGGGATTTGTGAAGTGGTTGGCCATGGTAATGACATATTGTTTAATACTAATAAGACTTTCTGTATGTATTTCCCATGTACTCGTTTGCCACTTCAGCCTCCATTGCCACCTGTAAGTCTATACGGTACCAACCTAAAGTACGTAAACTCATTTGTCTATTTGGGTATACATCTAAATACCACATTAAGTGACGATGATTGTGTACTTGCTATGCTGAAGAGTCTTTATAGTCGTAGCAAACAGTATCAACCGCAAATTTTTCTGTTGCTCTCCATCTGTTAAGAGACACCTGTTTATGACGTATTGCGCCCAGCTATATGGCGCCCAGTTATGGAGCTCTGTAAGCTCTGGTGTTTTGTATAAGTGCAGAGTGGCTTATAACAATTGTTTTAGAATCATAATGAATCTGCCTCGGCGTTGCAGCGCGAGTGAAATGTTTGTATGTAACTATATTGACACTTTTGAAACCAGGAGGAGGAGAATTTGTTATTCTTTTCTAAAAAGGTTATTTTCCTCCAATAACGCAACAATCTGTCGCTTAATTCATTCCGATGCCTTCTACAGGAATTCATTCTTTTGGAAGACCTACCATTTGTTATGCTTTTAGGTTTCTTCCTGTTTTACTTGTATGTCTGTAGTGTTTTTTGTATTATTTTAATGATGTATTGTACATGTTATATGGGTTTTTTACCTGAAATAAAGAATGAATGAAATGAATGAAATGAATGAAATGAATGTATGTAACATTATCTGCATGCTATTTTTTTTGTTGTGACCTGTACTTAACCCTGTGGGTATATGTGTGCCATAAAGGTCTTCATTCATTCATTAAATCAGTAAGGAATTGATGGAGTATCTTTTAAGTTATGATTTACGGTCAAGGGCAAGTTCCACTGCATGACGACTGGGATTTACCAATGATGACAAACCAACCATTACTAGACTAACCTGGCATTTATCACCATCGGTAAATCCCACTTTTCATGCAGTGTTCGTATCATAGGCAAGAAGTCAAATAGATGCAACAGGATTGTAATGGAGGGTGCTCTCTGTGACAATCCGCTGGGTTTTTACATTAGGAAAGATGGATTCCCGTGTGCTCTCTACATTTAGCTCGCCATGCAAGTTGCACCTACCGTCTCTGTGATCCAGGCATTTATTTTTCGCCATGCGAGCAATCGAGCTACATGTTCCGTTTGGTTGTTATTCTAAATAGGCTATCCTCATTGGCTATTCTAAAACAGGGAGGAGAGCTGCGCTATTAGATCACGCCATAATACTTAATGGGACGCACTTGGACTTGGGCGAGAACCTCAGCACAATCGAGTTACATGTTCCGTTTGGTCGTTTTACCAAATTAAACCTCATCGGCAATTCTGATACAGTCAGGAGAGCTAGGCCATTAGTGGTATTACATGTATATCACACCACCATTACACTTAATGCAGACGCACTTGGACTTGGGCGACAACCTCGGCACAATTGAGTTACATGTTCCGTTTGGTCGTTTTACCAAATCAAACCCCATCGGCAATTCTGATACAGTCAGGAGAGCTAGGTTATTAGATCACGCCATATTTCCACTTAATGGAGAAGCATTTGGACTTGGGCGAGATCCTCCGCACAATCGAGTTACATGTTCCGTTTGGTTGTACATGTACTTCCCAATCAAACCTCATCGGCAATGCTGATACAGTCAGGAGAGCTAGGCTATATTACATCACACCAACATTCCACTAAATAGAGAAGCACTTGGTCTTGGGCGAGAACCTCAGCACAATCGAGTTACATGTTCCGTTTGGTTGTAATTCCCAATCAAACCCCATGCCGTAAACATACGTGCTTTCCACTTGAGTGCGGTACCACCATGTCTTGTACCTTTTTCTATGTGAATGAATAAAAAAAACCCATCGGCAATTCTGATACAGACAGGAGAGGCTATCCTATCACGCCAACATTCCACTAAATGGGATGCACTTGATCTTGGGCGACAACCTCCACACGAGTGGCTGTCTGTACGGGAGTGAGACATCACGGTTCATCCCATTCGTTATTACTGTGCCCATTAGAGTCACCCCATTAGCAACACATCCCGTTTGATTGCCGTGGAGAACATGCCATCCCCGAGCTGCTACCCTTCGGACTAACGAACGCACCAAGGAATTTTCAGTTGCAGTGATTAGAGGACTGCATGCCCATAGCCAGTGGGGTTTTGGGGGGTTCGGAAACCTACAAGGCTCAGTGGTCCAAGGTTTTTAAAGGTCCAAGATTTTTCTTTGAAAGGTCCGAGATTTTTCTTTGAAAGGTCCAAGATTTTTCTTTGAAAGGTGGACTGTTTTGTATCACTAGCGGGGCTGGAATCCTAAAAACACGATCGCTTTGTCATTAGTTATCTCTGATATTTCCTTTGAAACCGCCATCGGGCCAATCGGACGCGCTCCATTTGTCGCAGAGTGGCCTGTGTTCCGTCTAATGAATGTTTAAAGCGGTATCTCGCTCGAATCGGCGCCAAAACCGCTTGCGTGGATTCTGGCACGGCCTTATCGCAGATACCATCGCGACTTAGGCAAAGTGGACTCTCAGCGGCTCGTTGTAAACCAAATTGGTGGAGAGATCGTTCAAGGTAAGGCCGGTAGATTTATTGCCGGCGCGGTCTAATGCCATTATCCCGGGCAGGTACGTAACACCCCCGCGGCTGTACTCTGCGGGGGTGTAACCACTGTACTCTTTGGAGAGAATTTCTATGTGACTCTGGCAAAATATGCCATTTATTTATCATGGCTCAGGTATAAAGATAATCCAGAATTACTTAGAGAACACAATGTTTTACATATATTTACCACCTTGAAACAAGACGTACACAATATTAGTTTGTAGTGTATGTACTGTATCTTCATTTCCAACATGACTGATTCGATTATAAAAGTGATTTAACCCCTAAGTAAGTTCCCAGCATGATGTAATCATTTAATTTTACCTGTAAAACTAAGGATTATGAGATTTAAGTCTTACTATGTTCGATGTTGACATTATGCCATGCATTGCTGTACTGAGTTATACTTAATAAAGATCTGGAAAACAAATAACACCCCCGCGGCTCGGGGAGTCGCCAGCAGCGCTCCGCGGCGATACTGCGTGCGTGTGCGAGCCTGCATTATTTACTAGACGGGCATTGTCATTGCCAACATCTAATGCAGCGCGATCAACTTAAGCGTTAGTCATTTGGCCCTTCCGGGATGGTTTCAAAAACCTGTTAGGTGTTGTTAGGTGTTGTACAAGTATGGCAAAAATGTACAATAAAGGTCTTCATTCATTCATTAATGGTAGGGTCAAGGGTTGGTTCTTCTTCTTCTTTCATTTAGAGGCAGCCACCTTCAACTACCTGAAGATTCTGTTGCCTTTTTGTGGATAATACGAGATGGGGTTTGCCAGGCCTCTATCCAGGAAAGTCGTGTTAAGTGCCTTTCTCAAGGGCACAAGATGGCAGGGTTCGAACCCGGGACCTCTTGGTTCCGAGACGAATGTTCTGCCGTTACGACACGCGACCAGACGGGTTGGAGGAGGGCCGAGTACCACTGGGACCAGTTACGTCTGGCGAGAGTTTC